ATTTGTTTTAATTCTCCGTTTGTAAACTAAAACGGAGTAGTGTAGTATGTGATGGTTTTTACAGTATCGTGGTTTCTGTTTTATGTGCAGGTGGCTCTTGGTAAAAAATGAATACTGATATTTTTGTGACATAAAAACATACAGATTGTAGCTTTGAGTTACACCCTCCAGTACTTTTATACTTAATAAGTAAATATGTGTTATCTTATCCTACAGGGTTTTTCATTAGTCCAAACATCTATATATCACTGTTCAATTTATTCAACTCATCCATTATTTCAATAGAAACCAAGATGATTATGTGTTTGTTGCACACATTACATACAAAAAGTAATGACTGGCCTAAAATGTATTTGCATCTATCTGAAAATGAGTCCTGAAAAGCAGAGGTTTTCCTCAGACAGTAGCTGTATCCTCACACTCTCCCTCCACAGCTCCCTGTCGGCCATGACCACCGACGTTTCATGTTGCCTCTGTTTGAAGTCAAGGTGGGGTCAGTGGACCAGTGGAATAAATCACTGTAGTTAGCTGATGTTGGAGACTATGGGTGGACGACAACCTGCTGCGGCTGGGACAAGAGTCTGGAGAGGCAATGAAACCCAATCTGCAAAGTTTTCATGAAGGCTTGTTTTTCTAGTGCTGAGCTCGGCCATTGATCAACTGTGGTATCCAAACAGAACAGGGCTTTAAGGACCCCCCTTCCACACACACACCCTGCTGTGTCTAGGTCCAGGATTTACTCCTGGATCCTCAACTGCAGGAGTCTCTGCTTTGATTTATGCTGAACACACTGGGTCCTCTGGTTTCTAATAAAATAAACCTGTTCACTTTTACAATGACATATCCCATATACATCCTTGTTTAAAAATGTGTAATGGAGGGCTTACACAGAGGAGCAAGGAGCCAAGACACCAAAACCTCCCAACAAAAACAGTTTGTGTGGAAGATTGAGACACCTGTTTTAGCATCTCTCTCATTCAACTTCACACATAAACTAACTAACACACTTACAAAGTAAGCTACTGACATCAACTTCACTCGCCAGTTTAAATAGTAGTTATATGCCTTCTACTGCAAAATGAGCTGTTAGGGATGTAGGCCCCTTCACAGAATGTGGTATTTGCATGTAAAAGGTTTGTAAAACAGTTTGATTTCATCAGCTATTCAGTTGAATAAAGGTAAGCAAAATATATATGGAGTACCAAAACTGCCAAAATAAAAATAATAATCAATAAATGATTCAATAAATAAATGAATATACCATGAAATGGATTGGAAATCATTTTTAAAAATAGAAAATATTTTCTGGTTTTCCCTCTGTTGTCCTTCAGCTGCTCTAACTTTTGGTGATTTATGGACTTTCTTGATTAACAAATAGTGTTAGCTCTACTTGTTGCTAAAGCAGGGCTGCCAGCTTTTCAGTTTAGTTTGGAGTGAGATTCGGTATACCTGAGGTTGGTGTATTTTATGAGCAGGCCATCTGTACCCACTGCAGGGGTCAAGGTCATCATTTCTCAGGAATTTTGTTTAAAAAGTTCACATCCAAACTCTAGCCATACTTGGATGAATAAGTATGATTGATCAGTATACTTGCCAACCTCCAGACAACAAAACCTACCCAGGGATCTGTTACCCCCAGACAATGTGTCATCACAGAGACTGTTTTCTTGCATTCTAGTAAAGTAATGGTGTCCTTTTGTTGATGAACGCAAGAGTGTTTGTGTAATGGTATGTAAAGTTGATCCATGCACTCTGTCAATCAACCTATAGGTGAAAAGTAGACCCCACACCCTGAATGACAGCCCTCTCATTTGCATAACGAAACAGCAATAAATGGGTTTGGGGAAAGAAGTAGCGGAAAATGCAAGGGCAAATAATACACACATAAATACATAAAAAAACATGGTGAAAACATGATGAGCCAGTTTTATTGAGACGTCCAATGGAAATTGTTTACATGTAAAATAAACCTTTTAATAATATCCATATGCTTTATAGGGAGAAAATGTAACTGTGTTTGTAAATGTTTTTAGGCAACTGGGGGAATGGGGGGGGGGGGGGTTTGCCCAGGTTGTAAAAACATCTCTACTAGTTTCAAAGTAGTAGTTAACCTCATCTAAGCCTGAGTCTATGGACTGAAAAGCTTTGATTAAATACTTGGTGACTACTTTTTATTACTGTCACATGCACATTTCCCTCCCTGAATGGCTAAGGAAGAGGAGAAGAACAATTTAAGCTACAATATAAAACACAAAGGAAGCAGCCTGTGAGAAATCCTCCAACAATATCTCTGAACGTGCTCCTGAGCGGCACTTGATTAAAACAACATTTAATAAGATGATGCCCCAGCTGTGTCCAGAAAGCAAACAGCACAATCAAACTTTTTTCTTATTATATCTCACAAATGGCTGTTTGTCTCACAGGCCTGTACAGTGAGAGTTATGGAGTTACAGCCACATCAGGATCACAGAAGGATAATTAAGAAATATAAATAATAATAATAATACATATACATTTATTTGTTTTAATCAAATTATTAAGTGTCACTCACGGAATCTTTTCACTTTAGGGGGTAAGAGGGTAAAATAAATACCCAACAAACTGCTGAAACAATGACTTTTAGATGTGGATGTAGCTTAGAAATAGCCCAGAAATGTTCCAAATGCTCTTTTTGGATTCTATGCAATGAATAGTTTTTGTGTTCTACCTTTTTTTTTTCTCTCGGTCTTGACCAAAGCAAAATGCCCCAAATCCTTAAAATGTGAATAATGTAAAATATTCAGTACACCACTGCTATCAACTACTGTATATTAATCTCTAAATATTTATCTCCAGAAAAAAACTGAATATTTCTATACAACAGTGGGACATGTTCCATACTGGACAGTAACTAATGAACCTCCTCATCAGTTATTCCATTTAGGCATTTTAACAATTAATCATATGTGTGTATATATATATTCTGACTATCAAAGTCAATGCAGTCTAGTCAAACTCCAGCTGGTTCAGAGACAACATCATAGGTTGTCTGTTAATTTTGTATGGGAATTGTTCCTGACTTTATTTCTGACCTGCTAACCACATATGAGCCTGTGTGTAGCCTGAGATCCTCTGGTAAGTTTTTCTGAAAGTTTAAGTCTATGCAGTGTCATACTGGGGATGATAAAGGCTCTTTAAGAAAAGCAGAGAGATGACCTGACAGTCAGATGGCCCGCTGTCAGCATGCTGCCCAGACTGACTGGAAAAAACCTCAATACAGTGCTAAAACCAAGACCACCCAGCTGCATGTACACAAGCTCTCTCCGCTTTGTTAGTTTAATAAATGAACAAAATAAACTCACAAAATGTCAAGAAACGAAATATTCTTACACTTTTCCTAATCAAACTGAAAAATACAACCGTACAGCTTCTACTGTCAAGTTTCTCTCTTTCACCAAACTACTCACCTTGTTAATCATCATAAAACACACTTCCTTCAAACTGGACAGAAACTAAATTAAACATTCTGGCTCTACACGCTGTCTGATGGCCACCCTCCGTTTATCGTCACGTGACTTGCATCACATGACTGAAATAACGTCCTTAAGTTCTTGTATGCCTGTTGCTGCACTTATTCTGGTAGCCTACAAATGGTCATATACTGTATGCCTATGTTGTTTTGGGAGTCACTGACATTCAACCTATTTTGTTGTTTAGGTCAACCCCTTCTCAGTCCCAACTCGTCACATATGCACACATGGTCAAGACGCATTGGCGTCAGTTTGAAACGCACTGGGGATCATAATTCAAGGCAGTGGGATGAGCCCTGTACCATCAGTTTTGGATGGTAAAGGTAGTCTAGGTATGTGATATGTAACAGAAAAGAAAGTAAAGAGGTGGTTGGGGTGGATGGAGGGCCAGAAACCGGACTTTCAACCAGGAGACTGATGTTGAAAAAAAGTCAACATTAAATGTTTTTATTAAAATTACTTAGGTTACATAGGTTAGGCAATTAACATAGGTTAAGTGATGTAGGGCCTTCATAACGTAGTTATTTTAGCCCAAACCATGATCGTTTCACAGAAGTTTTGGTGCCTAAACCTAAACAAATTTCAACTTTGACAATGTTAACAACGTGTCTTTTCAAAATAGATACGTTTCTAAATAGCTACACAGTTTTATGTTGAAAGTCTAACCAGACGTTCCATATTTGTTGTTGCAAACTTGAAAGCAGAACCGTAAATGTCGAAAAAAGAGCTAAAGGGTACCCAAGTTGTTAAAAAGCGACGGGTCTTGACCAAGCATCCATGTGTGACGAGTCGGGAGCGAGAATGTGTTGTTCAGGTGTGAGTTCATGTTGGAAGGCCTACAGTTATAACAGTTATAGGCCCTATCATAATAATGCATGTTTTACACCCAATTAATCTACAGCTAAGCCTACAGGCTACATTATGGTCAATGAGTTTTCATGTGATATTAAAGTCATCCAAAAATCATGCAGTCAGCATCAGTGCATGCCTCTCTGGGTTAATATGAATGGAGTCTATTGGTTATCATTATTTCGGTGTTGGGGCTATTTTCTCATATTTCACAATAACAAAATAAACCCACTTTCACAATTTCTCATCAAATTCAATAAATTTACATTTAAATATGTAGTCTAGGGTCAAATGTAAATATCCGCAGAGAAACAGCCATGAATTTCTTTATGTTCTTAGAGTGTCTAAATGAATTAATGAATTGTGAACAATAGCCTGCCGGTAGACAACAAAATACAATAACTAACTTCATCGATTCGTCGATCTAAAGTGGGTTTTAATCCTAAAATCCTATTTTCATCATTTATTAGTGGTTTATTTACAAAGCAAGGCAGTCTCTTTCAACTTTATGACTTTGACTGTTTCATTTTTAAATATAACCTAGCTGAAAATTCCCCTCCTCCACCGCCAACGCCAAACACATGAGGGGGCACAGAGCCGGAACCCTGCTGAACTCTGGGAGGAAAGAAGGAGCTGGCTTACTGCTGGTAGTCCGCCTTGCAGTAGACCTTTGTGTTTCTGAAGTAGCAGGTGGCGGTGAGCGGCCGCTGGCACGCGGCGCACTGCAGACACTCCTCGTGCCAGGACGCGTTGTTGACCCGCATCAAGAAGCGGTCTGAGATGGTCCGCGCGCAGCCCTCACACACTGCCTGCTGGGGAGAGTCACCGCCTGAACGAGAGGATAGGGAAATCACCATGAGACGCAGTGCGGGCCTGTAGTACCACGGACCCTGTACCGTGGAGCAGCAAAAACCTTGACCCTGTATCAAAAGCCTGAGGCTTGATACAGGGTGAAGCACGGAATTGATCATTGGTCCTATGTGCACGTAGCATTAAGACCAATGATCAATTCCATCAGTCATCATCCACCAATGTGTGTGTTAGGATCTGTGATTCGCATGATGGCTGACTAGAACCAGGACATCATTTTCTATTTCTCTACTACCGCATTGTAACAGGTCTGTTATTGCAGTTGCCAGTGGCCATGCGAGTTTCTGATTTATTTTCAAGTCAGGTTTTGAAATCTTTCTGGACTGGGGACTACAGGCTACTGTGAAAACTGTTCACATTGGATTCTCCAGAGTAACATGGGACATTAGGCTACTGATTGCCTCTTATAGAGGTTTATGTATAGCCTATTGACCTAGTCACCAAAGAAAATTCCTTGTAGGCTATTTGTAAAATCTACTTGGCAATTAAGCCGTCTTTGATTCTGAAAATGTTTCTACTCAATTATAAAAAATTCTTAATGCTGTCCATTCCCCTCCATTGTGTTGGGGTTGATGTAGAAATGTCAGCCAGATCTCCAAGCCTTAATAAATATAACCAAAACTGTAGTTTTATACCAAAGCATTTTTTTTATTTCAAATGTAAAATAATAATAAAGTTAATAAATAATAAGTTATTAAATAGCTTTTTAATAGCTTTTTTTTTTTAAATTGTATTTAAGCTATTTATTTTATTTTGGTTAACGAATGACTATAACGCTTGCCATTTTCATATGAGGAAAAGCTTCTATCAAGGTTTTATTTGGTCTTCTCTTGTTAACTGAGCTGTATTTTCCCATGAATGTGTCACATGAAGAACTAGAAATGAAAACACAATGCGAGACCTGGTTACAATATTTACCCAGGCCAGTGTATGTGTTCTCATCTGTTCTTGCTCTCCGTTATAAGGAGCAGAGCCGATATCTCAAATGTGCGACCATTTGGGCCTATTCTTCATGTCTTGTCATCTTATAGCATACCTGCTGGCTGCATCAATACAAACATCCTGTAAGCTGTCACCATGGTGACATCAAACATCACTTATTCATTTTCATTCAGGCCGAAGCTCTCAGAGGACTGAAAACCTGCGTGGAAGTCCTCTCAATGAATCTTATATAATGTGTCATGCAGTAAAACAGCACTAAAAGCAAAATAGTTGGCGTTTTGAAATCAAGTTCGGAAGCGTGAGTTAGTAAGGGACGCACTGCCAGGACAAGAGAAAAGAAACATCCTGAACTCACCGATCAGGGCGTCCAGAGAGCTCGCGTCGGTCCGCAGCCCGTCTTTTATCTGAGTGTCGTTCAGCATCTTTAAGCTCGCAGTGTGAACCCTCTCCGCACGCTCCAGCTGCACTTTCCATAAACCGTGAGATCCCGGTCTATGTGGTCTTTCTCACCTCTGCAACCCCGCAGCCTGGGGCAAAAACCAAATGACGCAAAAGGGGTTTGTAAAATCCGCAGAGTTGAAACCAGAGTTTTCAGTCTCCAGCAAAGTCCGTCAGAGGAGAAACCATCAGCTGATGTAAATCCAGAGTTGTGGCTTGAAAAGGGTCCCGCAGTCCTGAACTCTATGTGCCATCATGATCCTGAGCCTCCCTCTCAAAAAGGATCACAGCGCAAACAGAAACCCTCCCCCTGCCCTGCACCGAGCGCGTTCCTCTCCGGATTCTAGATGGATCCGCCTCCAGAGAGACCACGTACGAAATGCTGCAGGCTACTGTTTGAAATCAAATGAAATATCCACACACACTCCAATATCATGGCAAGACATTTGAAACAGCTAACACAAATCCCAAAACACTCAAAAACCTTCTCCTACCCCGTTACGGCCCCTTCAGACAGTCTCTGTCTGCAGGGCCTCTGGATCACACTGAGATCAGATTTCTGTCATTTGGGGGTTTAGCAACACTTTACAATTAAAAACCTACGCATGGCAGGTCTTTTACAGGCTGATTCATTTTAGACTCAGTAGCCTGTGTTTCAGTTTGACTTTTAGGATATAACAAATAAGAACCAAACTGGACCCCACATGTTACAGTACTAGTGGGGACACGAGTCGAATATGAACAAACCCTGGTTGGGTACCACCTATTTAGATTTATTAAAATTAGAATTTAATAAGCTATAGAATCTTGTTAAAATTATATTGACTAATATATTTAACAGAATACAGAATTACATTTGAATGAACATGTTACTTAACATTTAACCGAGATTTTAAAAATGAAAAATATAAAGAAAACTGGAAAACCGTGGAATCTTTTTTTAGTGACTATCAAAATCTTCTGACGAAGGTAAGGGGCGTGCTGGGGGACTTTGTCCATGTGTGTAGGCCTATAATAATATAAAGGCAGCCTATATTTATGGTTCCACAAATTCCACAGGCCTATCCCTATCTGTAGGCCCACATTTCACTGAAATAAGGTGGCATGGGTTTGAGCTATATGAGCTCACCTGTGGATCCATCCGTGCACTTGCAGCCTGATTTAGAATTTGCATGACGAACATCACTGTTAAAGGCTTTAACTTTCATTTTTCCCCGTCTGTTTTTACAATACAGTTTCACGTTCAACATAAAATATTATCGCTGTATTCTAAACAGGCAGATGATGTCCGGCAGTTTGAAATGATCCGTCGCCAACACTGCATCTAAAGCAATATGCATCAGCTGTCGGCTCTTTTGTTCGTTAGTTCGCACACAGAAATCCTGATGATATATGAGGCTTTTATTAACCGGGTTAGAAATATTAAAAGACGCGTGCGGGTCAGCTTTGACACATTGACACATTCTATATAGAGCTTTCCTCTAGTCAGTAGCCTATTATAACAGTAGTATACAGTACTAGTGTAGAGTATATTAATGGCTATATCCATGTTTATGTTGTGTAGGCTACCACTGGCATTATTAGAAATCTCACAGGTCTAAACAGAAAGCCCAAAAAGGGGTGGGGGGTCTGGTTTCAGTTGAACAAAGAGATGAGAAGCCTATCGTTTTTCTAGCCCCTTGTGTCTGTCTCAACAATTCCTCAAAGGCTCTAAAGGAATGATCAGACTCTTAAATAAATAAAATTGATTTCAAAAGGAAACAAGAAGACCTGTGAAGCTGTGACTTTTGGGTAGCTACACAATTGGTTGTTTTTTTACATTTGAAAAAAGGCTGTATTATTGTATTTATTATTATAATTAAAATCATGAAAGGAAAACACTGAATAACATTAATAATCGTGTAAGCATTGATTAAAAAAATTCCAGCTAATTAAAAATTATTTTAAAAATGTCAGTAATATTAAGCCATTAGGCCACATTATGGCGACCTGTTAAAATAAGTAAAATAAGAATTAAATGTGTGACATGAGGTAGGCTATGTGATAACATGTTAATTTCAAAATAAAGTACCTCATTAATTAATTAATGTATACTGAAAAATATCTACAGTTAGGATCATGTTTAACAGCTGTTATTGGCTATTCCAGTACAGATGTGGGCCTACACTATATAAATATGTTCCATTTGAAGAATTAGGTAGGCTAGTTATTAAAATCATTTTCATCAGATTCAGTTATTTTGAACAAGGTATTAGTGTGTGTGCAGATATAAAATCATACCAATCCCTTTCTATTTTAAGGGAGATTCTCTCAGTGAAGAGCAGGATGGAAGTCCACCTCCATGCAGTAGCCAATCCTGACACCCTGTGGTCAAAACAGACATTCCCCCAGAGCGCAGTAAGAAATACCCTACAGGAACAAAAAGGTGTCAGCAGTCACATGACAAAACAAATCATTTTATTGATGTATACACTAAAAAGAAAGAAATGTGAATAGTCTTTGGTGATTAGGGTTAATGATTCTTTTTTTAAGGGGTAGTAAAGCCATGAGGAGTACAGCATACACCCTGATGGAGTCAGAACACTAGTGGTGGTGGTGATGGAGAGAATGGCTGAGATCAGGATGGATGCGAAGAGGAGCAGGCTTCTGCTGAGCTCAGACCTGGGTGCTGATGAACTGGAGGTTAATGGGGTGCAGTCGGGTGGCAGCGATTAGTCATATAAGATGTAAGATGTAAGTTGAGAAAGAGTAAATGCCCATAGTCAGCTAATTGCAAAGAAAGAGTGAGAGAGAAAAATGTGAATAAATGAGTAGCATCAGATAGTCTTCCTGACTGAACCTACTCTAAGCTTCATTTTTATTGTAGCTGGTGATCAAACAGACCTCAGCATGGCCACACCCCCGTCAGCAGAAGTAATTTCCTGGACCATGTTTTTACAAACATTTCTGCCATCTACTCGTCCCCATTTTAGTCACTCAGACCATATTTCCCTGCTTCTCCTACCTACTTAGTCTCAGGTGATTAAAACCAGTGGACAGACTGGCCCATGCTCAGAGAGGCCACCACCCATGAGAACCACATCAACATGGAGGAATATACATCATCAGTGACATCATACATCAGCAAATGTGCTAATGATGTGGTGATCACTACGATGATAACATCATTCCCCAAACAGAAAGCCTGGGAGAATGGAGAGGTGAGGGCTTTTTACAGAGCGGACACATCATCAAAGACTTTTATAATTGGCTATGTGCAAGTAATACTAAATACTTTTAATTGTAAACCATGACATTTTTCAATTGAAGATTAAAGCAACATTACTAGCCAAGCCCACACTTGCGTAGCTACAGTCGTTCAGCAGAAACAGGGCACATGTTGGTGTGGCTGCCGGCAAGGTGTGCTCCTTGTAGCTCATGGTGCCACGCTAGGCCTATCAGCTCATTCTGCTTATTTGCCAGCAGCTGTTGTGTTAAACAGATGCTAAGAAAAGAGGAGGTTTGATCTTCTAACCATCAAATGCTCACTGCCTGTAAATGTAATGCAACACATATACATGAAGATAAGAGTGTAAACACACAGTGAAGACACTTTGATGACATGTGCCCCACACATTGACTTGCGTCATTAATATGATTTTAACAAGCAACTTTTGTCAGCCGTAAAACAGCTTCTTAGAAAACCAGCAGCGGCTGACATCCTTGTAAACACAGCTTTGGTTGTGTGATGTATCTGAGCAGATGGAAAGGTTGTGGAAAATTAGGCATCCGTCTTAGTTGTGGTGGTTCCAACTCAAAGCACTCTGGGTAGTTGTGTGCAACAGACTGCTGTAGAAATCAACAATTTGAGCCTTGTTTCAGCGTGTTGAATGTGAATGTTCTTCATGAAATGAACAAGTCACATGCTGTGATATCTATGCTGAAACTATAACCAGTTTAGCATAATTAATTCTGGACGTACTCAGCTCAGACAGTGGCTAGCGAAAAATCATTCACCAGCAAGGACCACGCCACAACAATGTGTCATTTAAAGGTTTCATGAAAATTCAGGAGGTACTGAAAGTTGAGGACCCCCCACCCCTTTACACTCATATTAACACTTGTTTAACAAGCAATAGGCATGAGATGAATGAAATGAGATACAGTAAGGCATTCACTCTATAAACAGTATCATGCTCAAAACATGATGAAGGTGGAGAACAGTGAAAGACTGACCACAGCTGATAGACTGTCCTTCAAACATTGATGAAGACCAATGTCAGTCTAAGTCTAGGTATCCTCAGCAATGGTGTTAAACTCAGTTCCATCACTTGAGAGAACAAGGATAAGCCTTTATGGTCAACTGTCAGCTTTAGAATATGAGTTACTTGTCCAGCCGATCTTCAATGGACACTTATTACTCCTTCAGTGCAACGGCTAGCATGGACAACAGGGCTATCCACAAGAGCGTCATGCCCATTTGAACAGAGGGGCCCACAACAGGCATTTTTGTTATTTAGTAAAATGAGACAATACATTTCCCTGCACTCCATAAATTTCCTAAATAACTACTGCTCATACTGCAAAACTGACTCCAGTCATTTAGAGGAGCTGCAGCTCCTCTGCACCAGCTTTCATCACTTACGTGATGCCTGTGCATTTATGACCAATACAAGTCAGTGCCCCATTAATCATCAGAGAGGACCCTAAAATATACTTCACTAATATGGCCAACCAGTAACTGCAGATCAGCATCTTTACAGAGATGACATGAAAGCACTGTGAATATATTGCTCTCTTTTAGAGTAATTGGCAGCAAACTACCACCATCATCAACAATACAATGAAGATTTATTTATAAACAATAGAGAGATTACAAAAAAACATACACAATTGCCAAATTCTATACACTTGATCTCTACTTATTTGAGTTTCTTCTTTTTGTTGGCTTGAACCAGTCTGTCCATTCTCTTCTGACCTCTCCTTAACAAAGTGTTTTTCTCCACATAACTGCCATTTAATGGATGATTGTATTTTTCGCTTAAGTCTAAGACCATTGTGGTGAAATCCCAGGGGCCTCATTTATAAAAATGTTCTTAAATGCATAATTTAACTTAATGTAACGTAAGTCTAGACTTTACAGATAAGATCATTTCCATGTCAAAGTAAGTCCTTCTTGAGATCCAAATTGATTGGAAGTGTCGAGTTGGGGAATGTATTAGGTGGTAAATTAATGCCTTGTGTTTGTTCTAATGCTCCAAATGAGACTTTGTTAAGACTGGTATTTTACATCATCCACTACTTGCGATCATGTTGAATCTTCCAGTGGCAGGGACGGTGGGGCCGAGTGGACCTTCTCCTGCTCAACATCGTATGTTGCAGAGCTCCAAGAGCACTGGCCTTGCTGGTCTAAAGTGCTGGGATATATGTCCTGTGCTCAGTCCATGTCGAATATCGAAGAAGATGCCAGTCCATATTAATTGAATCTTTCCATCATAACACCATCATACAGCTGATAGGTCTCTAAATAGAAGGCTGCAACCAACAGCTATTTTCCCCATAGATCAGTCTGTCAATAAAATGTTTAGTGACAGTGAAAAATACTTTCTTAAAAGTCTTAAGCTCTCATTCCAAAACTCAAAGACAATACGTTATAATGATGTGAAACAGAGAGAAGCAGCATGCTGTGAATGTTTGGCATTTGAGTTAAACGATTAAGTATCAAAGTTGTTGGCAATTCATATTCTGTTGATCAAGGCGATCAAGGTCAAGGTGCTGCTGAATCATCCCAACCAATATTTTTATTGATCTCAAACAATCTTGTCATTTTTAGTACAGACAGCGTTACTGGTAAGACCTTATGCAGAGCTTGAGACTGAAAGAGCAAGAGATGGGGATACCTGACCTGAAGAAAAATCCACTACATTGTCAGCTGGCTGCAGCACTGGCAATAGTAGTGAACAGTGATGTTTGAACTGATTGGTATCTTATGGTAGTTTAACAGTGCAGAATTAAAAATGTCTTCGCTGAATATAACATCAATCAACTAATTATATTGAATTTTCAGGTAAAAGGTGTTGGTTCACTTGTGACAAATCACAAGATGTGTCCCAAACACAAACCAGGACCTTTTTTAAGAAGTTTAAGCAACAGCTTAGCTATTCTGTTCAATTTACATGTAGGATTAAAATGTACTGAACCAAAGCCATTCCTACCCCTACCCTTTTTCAGGAGAGGATCAGGAGTTATTATTGCATAGGTCATTAAATTATGGACAGTATATCTAGGGTAAATCAGCCACAGCTCATCCAACGGATTAGGTTGTTAGTGATTATCATGCATCACTTCATCAGGGGAGTCCTGGGAGCAGCAGCCAGGTGTGACAGTGTGGCTGATGTTACTGTCTGATGAAATGTCTGAACGTTCATGAACTGATTAAATATACATACCAAGAGATGGTTAAAATATAAGTTAATGGTAAAGCGTAGTGTCTCTGTTATGAAGTAACATTTTTTGAGCTTCAAGAAACTCCTGAGTTGTGTAGTCAAATGAGCTTCAGTGAGGTTCAGCAAACAAAGAAGCACTTTACCTGCAGGTTATTAGCCATTTATTTTTTTGTAACGTTTATTGTGAAAATCAATCATATCTTAATTTTATCTATTCATATGATACACATCCTCTTTTAGGCAAACTGTATAACAAATACATACTGAATGAAGTAAATGTTTCACAGAGTAAGCTATTTGTGTCAGTGTGTGTATGGAGGAGAGTTACAGAGCAAGTGAACACAAAACAAGGTTAGAACCAAACCTTCACCCCTGCATTACAGCATGCTTTATACATTTCTGGAGGCACAGGTTTTTGTTTGTACCCCCAGCCCATTCATTTTGTGCTGGGGGTGGGCATGAGGGTGTAGAGCTGTCCTACACCTCCAGAGTCGTTCTTGATGCCGCCACCTGAGGCAGCAAATAAAAAATGCCAAATCCCACACAAAATCACTTCAATATTTCTTGTGTACAGATTAGAGCATGACTGATACTGGATTTTTGACGCAGATAGAAATGTAGATAACTGAGGTTGAAAAAAAAAAAAAACATGATTGGACAGTATGTGACTATTAAAGAAAAGTGAGAGGTCTGTAGTGAGCAGGACATTTTACAGTGTTAAACCCTTTTTAAAGATGCCTCCTTACAAGGTTTAATACATCATGTCTGACATGTTTTTTCAACTAGAGACCATGTTGCAACGGGATCGCACCAGCAGCGATGCCAGTTGATGTTCCGAACCATGAGTACTCAGTAGTCATTACTACATGTACTACACACCTGTAAAGTATCGGGACTGCATATTGCACAGTGGTGATGCTAACGCGTTGATGTATGAACACATACTAATGTTTTAAAGTGGATGGGAATGATAGAACCTTTAGACAGTGAATGTGGGCCAGGGGCATAAAGAAGGGGTGGGGGGGCAATGGCCCCTTTCTTACTTCCCTTGTTTCAACGATGCCCATCTTTGAACTTGGCCTTCATTTTAATTTCAACTACACACCTGGAAGGTTTCGTGACTACATCTGTCCAGACACCAGGTAAAACACTCACAACCGCTTCTGTGGTAGTTCAAACTACAGGAAGCGTTGCTGTGACGATACACATACACATACTCACAAGGTGAAAACCCCAGCCCAACTGTTTTAACCCTTCAACCCTTTTAAAAGTTCTGAAAAGCACACCTCCTACTTCTATCATTCTCACTGTATGTGTGCTGTAGGCTTCAAGTTCCCACATCACACCTCTGTAAGTAGCATCCTGGACCATGACTGGGCTTCCAAACTAGTGGGATGTCACAAAATCACTTTGGTGCTTACAAATCTTTAACTGAGAGGAGAAACCTTCCTCCTTCAGCAGATAAATGTGAAAACAGCCTTCCTATGTCAAACTCTGCACAGACATCCTGCTCACTGAAGGCCAACCATCCATTATGCAACAAGCAAGGTGTGTGTGTGGGGGGGGGGATTTACGAGATCTTTATCAAAAATATTGGTTTAAAAAATCTTGATCAGTCTCGGCCTCAAAAATCCCGTATTGATCAGGTTCAAAGTTAAGTGACATCACTATCCTTACCAAAATAAAATCCTACTCAAGGATTTTAGTTTAATACAATGATGTTAAATAAAATGTGCTTGTAATACAAATTCAACTGATGTTCATTCTTAATGACTAAAATCTATTTATCAGACATAATCTGTGACTGTTGATCAATAACCTACAAAAATAACTATCTATTGAAACCCGTGACATTTCATGTCACCTTAAAAACTAACAGACAGGCAGGGTTGTTATTTGTTGTTAATGCAGACATTAGTTCACTATTAAATGTTTCAGCAACACTGGCTGGAAGTAAACACCACATGTGAGAAACGATACATGTGTAGCTCATCACAGAGCAGGCAGACACACTCAGCTATAATACACACTGCTTCACATGGGCGGGAGCTGTTAATCCTTTTACCCCCATCAAACACATCAGCAGTGCAACTGATGTATTTTATATGTTACACTTCTGAAAACAACAAGAGTCTTAGGGACAACGTGGTCGCCTCACAGAAATGACTAATAAATTAGACAAACAAAAATCTAAAATAAAAGTTCGTCCATGCATTTATGACTTGATAATGTTCAGAGACACATGCAAGCAAGTAAAACTGTTTTCTTTGAACATCCATCTTATGAAACAAATGGAGTGTAATAAACAAAATAAATCAGGGGCACTGTCCTTCACCATCATCCTTGGTGCTTTTCAAGACAATATTATAGTAACACAAAAAGAGATCTGAGAACAAAATAATGCTTAAACATATTTAGAAAAAGTGGAGATTAGGCCTGGCCAGTATTTGAGAATTTCTGGAATATCAGTAGGTATATATGTACGCTCATAAGTAACAAGAAATGTAAGAACAGAAATACTGTGCTTGTGTGGCTGACTGTGGACAAATGAACAATCAGTCTGGTTCAGGGTTGCACTGCTTCCCAGCCCCTGCTTGGTGTCCCATCAGCCTCATTAGAACTGAACTCTAGTAGTGGTTCTGAGTTGGTAATTTTCTTTCACATGTCAAATGGATAAAATAAAAATACAACGGCTAAATCAACGTTTTCTGACTCCTAAAACAGATTCAAGCTACAAAAAAAGTCTGTTTAGAAAGGTAGAGGGAAACAAACTGAATCAAAGGCCTACCACTGTTACAGCGTATACATACGATCTGTAGGCACATTTTTTTCACATCAAATAAAAAAAGAGCACTTTTGCTTGACAACATGTATGATGAAGAAGAGCCAACAATCTGTGACACCTTTCTGTGTGTTAAACACTATTGACAATGACAGTTCAGATGATGTAAAGAAACTAAAGCTGGGTATGCAAAGTCAACCTCTCTCAGTATGGACTGAAATGCATCGGTGGCATGGAGGATCCAGAACTGTCAAGTACCCAAACTCGGCAACAAATAGTGTGCTGTGTGTGTTTACGTCAACATGTGGATGATAATATAAAAAACAAACAAATAAAATATCTAATATTGTTGTTCATTTAATATCCCATTGTTTTTGTGAATACAATGTCCCGTAAGCTCAAGACAATCTAAGTGAGAGCTGCAGTGGTTTAGTCGGATGAATGGTTCCCTTTGTTAGGATCATGCAGATTTCTACTTGGAATCTCAAGGTCTGCATACTCCACGTGAACAGTAAACTGTAGCTTGTATAGTGTTGCAGAAGCTAGTGTAACAGAGCTAGACAGAACTGATAGAACCCTACTTGCATATGTAACTCGTTTGACGCCGTCATTTGAAACATGACTGAGAGTGTGACCAAAAGTAACTGGCTCACAGCTCCGCCTGAGTTGCACTGCTGATTCCACAATCATTTAAACCGATCCCTAAAGGTTGTGCTGATTTGAATGCATTTTTTAGAACATGTTTAGGAGGAGTGTTAGTTAAAATGGAGAACTCTTCTTTCCACATAAAATATATATTTTAAAAAAGGTATATTAGTAGTTATTCAAAGTAAGGTATGGACAAAAGTAATGTTTTGGTATTGTTACTAAAACTCAGGTGTTCTATTATCACTAATTTGGAAAAACGAAACCAAGCCCTAAAAAATAGCAGACATTACAATAGTAACACTTGACAGAAATCTTAAGAACAGTGGTGTGTGTGTCAACCTTTAAACAGTGATAGTGGCTGTGGTGGAAGTTAGCCAAGCTGCTGGCTCAGGTACAGAGACAGTGAATATATGTGGCAAACAGAAATCGCGCTGAAATTCCCAAGGTGCACTCACAGTCACACCAGTATATTACAGTAACATCTAGAGAACAATGACAATACTTCTTCATCAAGAAGTCCAGTACACGCTAAAACATCCCATGATATGAAGCTTCCTTTTGTATTTCCAACCCTGGGATGGCGTACCCTCCTGGTGCCATGACAGAGCAGAGGCGTTTCATAAACCAGGAAGGTAAATATGATGGCTGCTCCCAGACTCTCATTCCATTTCAGGGAGCAAAGGCCTAACAGGTCCATCAGATCCATCAGAATAAAGTATCCTTTTATCTTTGTGGTTAAGTCCTTCAGATGGGGTGGGGCTATTTGGATTACATTGAACAACACTTCCTCTTTTGACAAAATACACATTATTTTTAAATCACAGGTGAGATTTCTTTCCATTTCCTTGACCAAGAAAGGTCTGTTTTGTCCAACAATGGGCAATTCTATCTCATTTTACAAGCCAGCTCATCAGTGTTGTTAGTAGTGTTTTGTTCCTTTTTTCTCAGTACAGGTGTTTGGGACTGTTTGCTGTGGGCAGGTCCTCAGTAGTTGTGTACAGGTCTCTCCTGTTGGTGTCCATAAGGGGAGAGTGTTGTTAGGGAGAGGTCAGGAGGGGATCATCAGGCCTCAGAGCTTAAAGAGGTCCGTGTTGGACTGGGAGGGAGACGAGCTGCTGCACTGTGCTCTGTACGGAAACTGTAATCATACTGACAGAGGGAGACAAACATCATTACTGTGCAATACACTGTGGTAAAATGATCCAACCCTGCATTGACTTTATCAAACATGAGTGCATCAGTAAAATGAGTCCAAACATCTCTGACAACAGGTGTGCTTGACTTCAAGCGGTGCTGTGCACGTGATGCATGCTGGACTTAACATAAGGCATGCATTAAAACCTTGCAGGAGCAAGGTTCGCTGCAGGCGCCGAGTCCTGCAGCCGCTGTTGCTTTTCTGCGGCTGCACAAAGGTGGAACCACACTATTGCCTGGTCTCGTGGCATTTTTCTTTGCAAATGCATCAAGATCAGTCATTGATCTCAGCTCACAATAAGCTTGTACAGGTAGAATGTGTCCAACTTGACGGTGCCATTTTTATTCCCCGCCACTGCAGCCGCCTGCAGCCCACATTAGACTATCCAGTCGGCAAAAGTCAGCCGCCGTCATCTTGAACGCACCTAATAATACAGTAGATCAAACCAAGGACCACACTGGCTTCTGGTGGACACGGTGTGTAATTACAGGAACACTGCTATTTATTGAGCTCGTAAAGGCAATGTAAGGAAGATGGAGGATTCAAGACACCATCAGATCTCACATCATCTGTTTTCACTTTACTACTACTACTTCCCACACATCCATCAAGTCACAGCACAGCAGTTCAGGATAATTCCTGTTTATAACAACCTGGATGTTTATAGCAATATTACTACAGCAAAGTCCTACAGGTATCATCAACATTTTCAGTTTGACCCGCAAATAAAGAGGATACATAATGTGATAAACAGCAGGCTGCCTGTCTGATAGCTGTCTACTCACCTCTTTCTCAATCTCAGCCAGTGACTTGATTGTAATGCCCATCAGATCCACCTGCTGCAGCTGAATATGGAGAGCAGTGATAGTCAGTTAGTTGTTCAGTTATATAAACAAGTTCAACTTCAGTAACTCCAGTGTTGCCTCCACAGCCCTGTCTTTTGTTTTTACACTGGTTATTTTGAACAGCAGTACAGAACTTGAGCAGAGGCATTACAGCACACAGTCAGACACCTCTGCTATAGGAGGATAAAAGCTGTCACACACTTGGGCCCAGTTGTTCAAAAGTAATCTGATTGGATTTTGGCTATGGGATTGGATCAAATCTTGAAAATGGGTTGTTCAAAAGAAGAAAAGGATTCTGAAATCGGATCAGATCTCCTAATCCAATCCTGTTTGTGATCTGGACTGAATGTTGTTCAAACTTTTTAGTAGAATTGGGATCCCTTTGATCCAAAACAATATATATATTATATCAGGATTATCCTGATCCCAATAGAAGGATAGATTCAGGGTGGATTTTAGGATTTTAGTTTCATGTCTTTTTACTGGGGCACAAAATGAAACTCGGCTGGACGGTGCTACAGTCTGTAGCTGAACTGCTGTACCTTACTGCATTCCAGCAGCAACATTAGTGGGACCAGTCCAGCCGACATGTTTCTGGATTTATTTCAGGTTTCACCACCACAGGAGCTCAGAAAAGAGGCCGGAAGAGTTCTTTACCAAACAAAGATGATGATGACTAGAAGTCACTTCTTCAACGAGAAACAGAAAGAGCGGAAGTACAGATTAAAACACGTGTTCCAAATATCCACAATATATTTGTGAATGATGTTTATTTGTTTTTTATTTATTTGTTGTGGGTCAGATGAGGGGTCTGACTGTTTGAAGACATTGAAAAAGGAAGGGACTGTTTGTATTGTCTCATTTTTTATTGTCCCCACGTTGGTTATGGCCATTTAGAGCACTGGTAATCTGGATTTGGTAGTCCTGAAAAGTCTGTATCAGGGTTATCCAATCCAATGTTGCTTTGAAAAACTGGCACAAAAGTAAGAGGGGTTACATGATCCTGCATAGTGGAACATGGGATTTCCAATCATGCTGATCCAGATTAAACTTTTTGAACAAATGGGCCCTGAAGACTAAAGACTCAGCTTGGGTAACTTACATCCGACGAGGCACAGGCAAACTTCTCAGAGATCATGAAAGGCACTCCGTCCATTGCTGAAAGAGACAGTTCACATAAATGCTCATGAATGTGCATTTTATAGCAGCAGCAGAGAAAAACAGAAAAACATTTATTCACATGTTTATAAAAAAACAACAACAATATTTTAGGCCCTATTTTAATCACACGAGCGCTACAAAAGGGCTGGGTGAACCGGAATAGAGGAATAGAGATCCGAGGTTGTGGGGATTAATAAATATTTCAGTCACAAATCTACGGTATTTCACTTCCATAACTACGTTCATTTGTACCGACCGTCCAGTATATATATATATATATATATATATATATATATATATATATATATATATATATATATATATATATATATATATATATATATATATATATATATATATATATATATTAAAAATACCACTGTTGCTACTAAAGAAAGTTGGAAAGGAGACAACAGGATTAAGGAGAGCCAGTCTTGCTGGCTTGCTGCATCTACTGATTACAGCGTGTTTAATAGTTTATTTACAACTGAACTAAAATCAGTGTTTAATACTAGACACCCTGATTTTAATTTTGAAGTACATTTTAACATACAGCATTCACCATGTGTGGCACGAGTTTGATTTGTACATTTCAACAAGACATTTGTGATTTTGTGAAGAGGATGTTGAGAAAAAGACCGTCAAACTGCTTCTGACCTGAGATAGCATACAGGTTGGAGTTCTGGTGCTCGTAGTCCGGTCTGGTAGTGTTCTTCCCTCTGAAGCTGGCTGGGAGAGTCATGGAAATGTGCCTTGGTAAAAAACAAAATAAAAAAGCATCCGGTCACTTCAATGGAGACAAAACACTCAATCTATGCATTGTCCCTTACTGCACGTCCATGTTCAGTCATCAGTGAGTGGACTTTGGAAAGCCTTAATAATCATTTTGTTTAGAGATTTCCCCCCTAGAATTACTCCTCTGAGCTCTGGACCTACAGGAGCAGAGGAATGGAAAAAGATGAGGAAGTACATTACCTTTATGTTCTGTTAGGTGGATTACGGGATCACAAAAAATCTGCATCATTCGAAACTAGAGAAAATGATTCCAGGCAGCTGATAGCCACAACAAACATCAAACATCATACTCCTTCTGTATTACAGCTAGCAAAAACTCTTTGTGCATATGACCATATGGAGGTTTAGTTTTAAAACCTGAAAAAATTTTAACCTATGCTTTAAAGAAATACAGGGTGTCACAACTCTGCATCACACCTTTGTGTTAGGGCTCCAGCGAGACTCGTGTCTGTGCCCTGTGTGAAACAAAAAGTCAATATTACAGTTTTATATTTAATTTTATATAAGGCTATTTCTTTCTAAGTCACATCGCATCTCATATCAACTTTGTAGAAGTGAGCACTATATTATGGGCCACATATGGAAAAAAAAAAGCTAGCCTACTTGTTTTGCAAGATCGCGTCAAGCTGGGTTTGAACTCACTAGAGCAAAAACAATTCCTTCTTGGGATGCACTGCTTTGCCTAGGAGCCACTCAAAAACTCATAATTCTTCAATTTCTAGCTTAAGAACTATGTAATAACTATGTTATTTCCCAGGAAATTAAACAAGCTTTTCCTCTTGGCCTCAGGTGAAGATGCCAACGATGTTCGTTCAGACTTGACCACGGGTGGTTCTAACGACCATGACGACTGTCGTTACCACAGCCAGGAGTACTAACGAACCAGCGGTATTGATGATCCTAGCTAACGATCCCACAAAGGTTAAATGAGTTGCCTTGCTGGTCATTTCAGAACTGAAGAAGTCTCTTGGATGAGGGATGAAACGTTTACTAGTATCTTCAACCAATACCAGTTGCCATTGACTTCAACCTTCTTTGGATAACTCTAATGTCCTGATGAAACAGGTATTCAAAGTGACTTGACAGTTCCAAGAAAACAGTGTACAACAGTGTCAACTTCATAGCAGACAACTTTCTTTTTGTCAACATGGCAGCAATTTTAATTTGTTTTTCAGCTGAGACCTTTTCCTACTTCACTGTCATCTAAATCTAAATATGTTCCCCTTACATTGAGGAAAGGATGTTCAACAGGACAGGACAGTCAACATACATGTGAGTTATGTGTGTTAAGTGATGATAAAATCAGACACGTTAGCACACATGTACAAATGCATCATTAGAGTGGACATACTTGGGCATAGGAGCAGCTGGGACTGGGGCTGAGCTGGAGGAGGAGTTCATATTCTGGATGTTGTTGGTGGCTGGTGTGTTTGTGGAGTCCTGGGCCCGAGGTACGTTCCCCATTCGATACCAGATTCCCATGTTGTTGAGCTCTCTGTCAAACAAGTTCATAAGCATTAATAAGAAAACAGAGCTGAAAAGAGATAATGTGGAAAAGTTACAGGCTTCACATAAATGTCCACTTAGTCTTAGGCTCCAGCCCTTCAAAATGTGAGTACATGGTACAGCCCATATTTTCTGTTTCATTTATACTTTCTCTGAGGAATTAAGGCTGGAAATGCTATCCGGATCTTTTTTATCCTGCTGCTTTGTGGACTTTGTTGACTGCAAGTTTAGCTCGTGTATAAATGCGACAGTTAACAGACTTTATTCTGAGCACAACCAGGACACTGATCTGTTCGGATTTTTTATTTATATATGACATAAATATGATTTAATAAATGTTTTCTTCCACTTCTAAACTTGCCCTGTGCCAGAAAACACTCTTGTCCCAAATATTATGTGTACCAGATTTTTGGCAACTCTATCAGATTTCTACAAAAACATAATTTACATCAGGCATAAAAAGGATTAGCTATATCCTGAAACCACTCATCACAATGATGAGGTCCTAAAAAGCTTATTCTGCAGCGCCATGGTAGTAACTTGTCAATCACAAGGTAGCCATGCCCTAAAGCCTCCCCTGCTTCATCATCTGTCTCAGACTTTTTTGAAACCATTTTCTCATCTGTTGCTGCGGTTTACATTCTCCCCAAATGCAAATTTAAAAAAATGCACTGAGGAATGTTCTGGGTGTACCTTACACATAACTGGATATATCATTTTATTTTATGTTACCATATTTTAATTAATTATCTGTTAAGTTCTGTGTCTTTTTGTTATACAACTTGAATGGGACTTTACTAAATGAACATCATGCAGCGTTTAAGACGACTTGAAACTAGCCATAAACTCATTAGAAATGTTTTTATGAGGTAATAAATCAGGTGAGAAGCAGGCTCATAAGCTCCAATGCAATCAGACATTTTGCAGCCAGTGGAGTCGCCCCCTGCTGGCCATTAGAAATAATGCATGTGTAAGGCTTTGCTTTTCAGACCCAGAGGTTCCCGCTGGGATGGGACCTGAAATTGAGTCATAGTGGGTAGAAGCCGAGGATGCCACAAAATCATCGATACTAACAGAGAAATTTCTATCAGTTAAATACTGTAGGAGGTGAACGACTCATGGGCAACACCGGAAATCGTTATGTGGTGTTCCAGACAATTTAAGAGGACAGTGTGCCAATGGTGTTGAAGGCAGAGCTCAAGTCCAGGAGGACCAGGATTTAGCAGCTACCTGAATCAGAAGTCAACAGAAGCTTACTGCTCAACCTCAGGAGGGCAGTCAGTGCTGTGAAGGGCAAGGAAACCTGTCTGATAGAAGATTAACTTGAAGATTGTTTATGGAGATGGGTCTAGGCTTGTTTTTTTAAAGAGGGGAGAGACCATCTCTGATCAGAAAACTGAAATATAATTTAACAATCAGGATGTAAAGTACGTGTACCGGACAGGGTTTAGTCTAAGCATGTACTGATTGTCCTTAATAAAAGAGCAGTAGGTAGTAATGACATGTGGCTAATTAATGTTACTATAAATATAGCAAATGTTACATAGCAGCCAAAAAAAACCTAACATACTGTTAGCTTTCCTAATCAGCTTCCAGACTGGAGTCTGAAGCCCAGGGGAGCCCACCACCTTCACTCTTCCAGCAGTTGGGAAACAACAGACAGACTTTAACTACACTCTGTGGTCATTTGTTCTGCAGCGTAGGGCTGGACGGTATATCGGTATACTGATCTAATTTCAAGAGATATAAAATTAAGCAATACCGTTTTTACCGAAAGAGTTTGATGTTGAGTTAATTAATATGTTTCCCTAAAGTCCTTCCAGCGTTTGCTTGTCTCCGTCCCACACCGCACAGCCTCCCTCTGCGCGCAGCCACTCTAGCTCATAAACTTCAACAACATGGAGGGAGACTCAGTGCCAGTTGACACTGCTGAAGACCTGGCTTGTAATAGGGAAAACATCATTTTAGTCCGTATTTCCCACACATTAACTTTCCTTCAGCGGGCCGCCCACGAATATTTGGCGACGCATTGTAGCATCTCTCATAGAAACAGAGAGTTGCAATCTATTGTGTTACGACGCGTGGATATTTTACAAGCACGAACCAGGTAAAGCGACAGTGAACACACCAGTGCAGGTGTCATTTGTTACCTACCATGTTGGTTTTGTTTTGAAAGGCTATATCGTCAACACGCCTCCTCAACATGCGGCCTTGCTGCTGCTGTGAACAGAACAGCGGGTGTAAAAGTCTAGATGATAAGTGTTGTTTTTCGTCTATTTTATACAACGTAGCTGACTACTGATGAAGAAAGTCACCAGAGAGGACACACAGTGAGGGAGAGAAAGAGACGGAAAGAAGCGGGGCACGCTGATGTGTTTGCAACAGAGGTAGGTAAAGTTAGGTCAGTGAGTGTAGAGAAACGAGAACTGAAGGTAAAGGAGGCACATTCAAGAAGTTACTGAACACTTAAATAAGGTGGAGAATGAAGTAGGCTATACAGTGGGGCCAAAAAGTATTTAGTCAGCCACTGATTGTGCAAGTTCTCCTACTTAGAAATATGAGAGAGGTCTGTAATTTTCATCATAGGTACACTTCAAACTATGACAAAATGAGAAAAAAAAAAAAAAAAAAAAACAAATCCAAGAAATCACCTTGAGGGATTTTAAAAGAATTTATAAATTATGGTGGAAAATAAGTATTTGGTCAATAACAAAAGTTCAACTCAATACTTAGTAACATAACCTTTGTTGGCAATGACAGAGGTCAAACGTTTCCTGTAAGTCTCCAGCAGGTTTGCACACACTGTAGCAGGTATTTTGGCCCATTCCTCCATGCAGATCTCCTCTAGAGCAGTGATGTTTTGGGGCTGTCGCTGGGCAACACGGACTTTCAACTCACTCTACAAACTTGGTCTGAAGACTGGCTAGACCACTCCAGGACCTTGAAATGCTTTTTATGGAGCCTGAGCGGTGTGTTTGGGATCATGTCATGTTCCATCTTCAAGGCTCTCACTGATGGAAGGAGGTTTCGGCTTCGGCTTAAAATCTCACGATACTTGGCCCTGTTCATTCTTCCCTTTACACGGATCAGTTTTCCTGTCCCCTTTGCAGAAAAACAGCCCCAAAGCATGATGTTTCCTGCCCCATGCTTCACAGTAGGTATGGTGTTCTTGGGATGCAACTCTGCATTCTTCTTCCTCCAAACACGACGAGTTGAGTCCACATGATATTCTCCCAATCCTCTTCTGGATCATCCATACGCTCTCTGGCAAACTTCAGACGGGCCTGGACATGTACTGGCTTAAGCAGGGGGACACGCCTGGCGCTGCAGGATTTGAGTCCCTCTCAGCGTAGTGTGTTACTGATGGTAGTCTTTGTTACTTTGGTCCCAGATCTCTGCAGGTCTTTCATCAGGTCCCTCCGTGTAGTTCTGGGATTTTTGCTCACCGTTCTCATGATCATTTTGACCCCACGGGATGAGATCTTGCGTGGAGCCCCAGATTGAGGGAGATTATCAATGGTCTTGTAGGTCTTCTATTTTCTTACAATTGCTCCCACAGTTGATTTCTTCACACCAACCTGCTTGCCTGTTGTAGATTCACTCTTCCCAGCCTGGTGCAGGTCTACAATTTTCTTCCTGGTGTCCTTCGACAGCTCTTTGGTCTTGGCCATGGTTGAGTTCGGCGTCTGACTGTTTGAGGCTGTGGACAGGTGTCTTTTATACAGATAAAGAGTTCAAACAGGTGCCATTAATCCAGGTAACGAGTGGAGGACAGAAGAGCGTCTTAAAGAAGAAGTTACAGGTCTGTGAGAGCCAGAAATCTTGCTTGTTTGTGGGTGACCAAATACTTATTTTCCACCATAATTTACAAATAAATTCTTTAAAAATCCTATAATGTGATTTCCTGGATTTTTTTTCTCATTTTGTCTCTCAAGGTTTGAAGTGTACCTATGATGAAAATTACAGACCTCTCTCGCACAATCAGTGGCTGACTAAATACTTTTTGGCCCCACTGTAATTAAAACGCTGAAATAAGAAACAAGCTAGTAAAAATAGTAAAACATGCCCGCTAGCACTGACCGGAACGTGAGTGTGCCCGACTTTCTGTAATGTCAATGTAGGTTAGCAAGGTGACGGACCCGTCTGTGAAAAGCCCCTCCTCTTCATGCACAATCTGAATCAAAACATGCGGCAGAGGAAGGATTGTTAGAGCTTAGGTGTCATTCCAAAAAGTGATCGTCCACTGAAAACTGACTGCCGCCACGTTAAAGCTGCATCGCCCAGTTTCTATACGTCACCAGCTGATCAAACAGTCATAACGCGCAAACATCACTTTATGTCCGTGGTTATAGCAAAGCTATGTCTTTGTGAAACTTGACTGTTTTTTGTAATGGAATAATCACAACTGAAGTGTTTGCATTTTACAGCGTAATCAGGCCTGACATTTACATGATTATATAGGCAATAATATTAGCATATGCAATTTGTGTTTGGTATACTTTGTTTAATATCCTTGTTTATATTTGGAAAATGGACTATAGCCTAAAATTAACATGGTTTTCGGCACACTTCGACAGATTATTCATAGTTTTCATGTCGCAAGAGGAACGCTCCCTGGGAGCTGCCCGCCAACTAGGAAGCAAGTGATACACTGCTACTTTGAGTTTGTTACTTTTGTGTTGCCAAAATGCAGGATGGTTGTTGTGCTGTCAACTGCACTAATTGACGAGGAGGCAGTTTGTGTCCATATCTTTGTTTTTCTTGAGTTGAGAGGTGATCCAAATCATTGTGGGTAGGGAAATTTAATGTCTTTTGCTGCTTCTCTACGGGGAGCCGCCTGCTCTGTTGTTCTGCCCTTCAGGTCACCACGCATGTCACATGAATGAAAACTACGTAGCTCACACAGTCCTTTTAACCTGTTGAAATAATACAGGGCTAATACAAGCAGTAACAATTATCTTTTCACTTCCCAAAAAAGTGACTGTAGCCTCGACCTTGTGACCTAAAAAAGAAATAGTTAGAAACAAAAGTCTGTCTTGTCAGTTGCTGTCTGGGCAGTGTGGAACTAGCAGTTGGTTTTCTGAACATTCTAAAGATTGCAGACCAATCACTGCCAACTTTAGAACGTTGGTGTTAGTTGGGCACTGTGGGCCGCCACCTTTATGGGCAAGCCACAGACACGCTTCACTTGCGCACTGTTCCACCAATTAATATTTAGATTAAGAATTTTTGACATTTGTGAATCGATTCAGTGATGCATCTAAGAATCGATTTCCCCCCCTCCCCTGATAAACTTAGCTGAGCGAACGGAGCAGCCCTGGATAATAAACTATTGTCTGGTCCTTATTTAGATTCTCTTCTGCAGACAACTATTAGCCAAGTCCTCATCAACCCTAATGCCCCATCATGTGATACAAACGGCTCACCCTATGAAGGTGTACTGTGGGGGGGCCTGCTTGGAGCGTCCCAAGATGCGGATGTCACAGATAGCAGCCTCTGTGGAGTCCCGTGGAATAAACTTGATGCAGAGTCGCCTCTTCCTGAAGGCCTGCTCCTCTGTGAGACACACAAGAGACAGACACACTGAGGGTGCTTTCACACCTAACACATTTGGTTCAGTTAAAACAAACCCTGGGGCGTTTGCTGGTTAGTATGGTCCATTTGCGGTAATGTGAAAGTGATCTATCGTATGCCCATGTTACCGTACGTGTATGTACAGCACAAGTATTTACTCTGATTGATAGGTCAAAAGCTGCTAATACTCCTCCTGTGTGTCCTTTGTCAGTTCATTAGTTACATTACACTGTGTGACAGCAATCCCACAGTAGTAAGCCCAGAAGACTAATAATACTAAAAATACTCGGACCGGACCAGAACTAAGGACGTACTCACAGTAGGCCTGGTTGCCTTGTACCGTGGCCTGAGCATGATTGTCCCCCCTCCCCACTCCCCCGAGCCGGAGCACGTTTACCTCATCACTCCATACAATGATTTTTTGTGGCAGCCTGACACAGTATCAACACCAACCGCCACATTTGATTTTGGATTTTTTTTACTAGGTCTATTTAAAATCGTATTTGATTGCAGAACTGCGTGTAGAGCACATACTCGCTCAGCACCTCGTCTCACTCGCTCCCTCTCTCTCATGAACACTGCTGCACACAACATAAAGCTGTCAGTGTAAAGATCCACCTAAAAAAAAGTTATTATCAAGCATGTAAAGAGCCTAGCTAATAGGATAGCTCTGTTAACGTTAGATCACAGCTGTGTTGTCGAGGTTGACTCGATAACTTACGAGTGTCAACAGTCTCCTGGATCGGGATGAAACCCACAGGCAGAGTGTCCTTTATATCGATCAGCTTCATGTCCACCAGAACATTGCCTAAATGGCTCTAAAGAGAAGGATAGAAGGCAGGAACAAATGATAAAAAGAAGGAGAAATGGTAAAAGAGCAGGGAACGAACCTCTTCATTCAAACGCTATATGTATGAGCTGAGATTGGAACATGCGTTAGGTGAGTTAACTTACATTTTCTTTAGAGAAGACCCTGGTGAAGCAGAGGTAGCGGGTCACCTTGGATTTGAAAAGGCCATCTTTCCACAGGTCAGCATCCAGGCCGTCGGTTGTTGTAGAGACCTGGAGGCAGATAAGTCAAGGGAGAAGGGGCCATCAAATTGAGATAACAATAACAGGGAAATATGTTAATCCGTCTCAGAGCTTTTTGTGAACCTTCCAAAGAAAAGAAAAAACATCCGATATCTTTAACAAGCTAAAGCTAAATTTTTTATTAAACATGATCATGGAAATTATGATATATCTATTATGATATAATAATAACTAAAAGACTAAAAAAGTAAGTCAGAGTTAGTCACAGTTCTCCTGCAGTAAACCACGATGAAGTGCTACAGCAGCAGCTGCTTTTGGTTTCAGTGAAATCCTCAGGAGCAATCAAACTCTTACTGAACTGCTCATGTTACATAGTAAAGATGCACATTAGGGATGCACCGAATGTTCGGCCACTGAAATTAATCGTCCGAAAATAGCAAAAAACGCACTCTTTTGTTCAGCCTAATAAGTAAAAAAAACCAAATACATTTTACCAAACAATTACATTGAAATGTCGGCAGTATTGAAGCATTTTGAAGTGTCCAAGAAAGACGCAAAAATTGCCGTTTGCAGACGCTGTACTGCTGAATTGTCTCCCAGCACATCCACTCCATCTGTGGCTGACTTCTTAGAAAAGGCAACAAACAGTCTGACCGGCTTTGAGTGTTTCTGTCACTCGTTTGTGAAAAGGCACACCTAAATTTGGAGTGCACACGTATTAGAAAATAGGAACCCCAGGTTTCTTTTCAGCACTGTAGCCAGGCTGACAGAGAGTCACAGCTCTATTGAGCCAAGTATTCCCATAGCTCTCAGTAGTTACGACTTCATGAGCTTCTTTAATGATAAAATTCTAACTATTAGAAACAAAATTCACCAAGACCTTTGCTTCCCTCAATCTTTACCAACTAACTTCAATAATTTCTTCATCTAAACCATCAACCTGCCTCTTAGACCCCATCCCGACTAGGCTGCTTAAAGAAGTTTTACCCTTAGTCAGCACTTCTATACTAGATATGATCAATCTATCTCTATCAACAGGCTATGTACCACAGTACTTTAAAGTAGCTGTAATTAAACCTCTTCTGAAAAAGCCCAAACTTCATCCAGATGTTTTAGCCAACTATAGACCTATATCTAACCTTCCATTTCTCTCTAAGGTTCTGGAGAAAGCAGTTGCTAAACAGCTGTGTGACTTTCTACAGAGCAATAGTTTATTTGAGGATTTTCAGTCAGGATTTAGATCTCTTCATAGCACAGAGACAGCACTGGTGAAAATTACTAACGACCTCCTCAGTGCATCAGACAAAGGACTTGTCTCTGTACTGGTTTTATTAGATCTTAGTGCTGCATTTGATACCATTGACCATCAGATCCTATTGCAGAGACTGGAACATTTCCTTGGCATTAAAGGAACCGCTCTAAGCTGGTTTAAGTCCTATTTATCAGATCAATTTCAGTTTGTACATGTTAACGATGAGTCCTCCATGCACGCCAAAGTTAGTCATGGAGTTCCTCAAGGATCTGTGCTCGGACCAATCCTCTTCACTTTATATATGCTGCCTTTAGGCAATATTATCAGGAAATATTCCATAAACCTTCATTGTTATGCAGATGATCCTCAGTTATATCTATCGATCAAGCCAGATGAAACTCATCAGTTAACTAAACTTCAAATGTGCCTTCAGGATGTTAAAACCTGGATGACCTGTAATTTTCTAATGTTAAACTCAGATAAAACTGAAGTTATTGTTCTGGGGCCTAAGCACCTCCGTGACGCATTATCTAAAGATACAGTTTCCCTTGATGGCATCGCCCTGGCCTCTAGCACCACTGTGAGGAATCTTGGAGTTATCTTTGATCAGGACATGTCGTTTAAGTCTCACATTAAGCAAATTTCAAGGACCGCCTTTTTTCACCTACGTAATATTGCGGAAATCAGGAACATCCTGTCTAAAAATGATGCAGAAAAACTAGTCCATGCATTTGTTACTTCTAGGCTGGATTACTGCAATTCCTTATTATCAGGCTGCTCGAAAAAGTCCATTAAGACTCTTCAGCTGATCCAGAATGCTGCAGCACGTGTTCTGACAGGAACCAGGAAAAGAGATCACATTTCTCCTGTTTTAGCTTCCAGTAAAATCCAGAATAGAATTTAAAATCATTCTTCTTACCTACAAAGCTCTTAATGGTCAGGCACCATCTTATCTTAAAGAGCTCATAGTACCTTACTACCCCACCAGAGCACTGCGCTCCCAGAATGCAGGGTTACTTGTGGTTCCTAGAGTCTCCAAAAGTAGAATGGGAGCCAGAGCGTTCAGCTATCAAGCTCCTCTCCTGTGGAACCAGGTTCCAGTTTGGGTTCAGGAGGCAGACACCATCTCCACATTTAAGAGTAGGCTTAAGACTTTCCTCTTTGATAAAGCTTATAGTTAGGGCTGGCTCAGGTGAGTCCTGAACCATCCCTTAGTTATGCTGCTATAGGTCTAAACTGCCGGCGAATTTCCCATGATGCACTGAGCTCCTCTCTCCTCTACTTTCTCTCCCTCTGTATGCAACCTCATCCCATTATTGCATGTTACTAACACAACTTCTCCCCTTTCTGGTAGTCTTGTGCTTTCTCGTCCCTCTCCTCTCTCCTCCTATCACTTCCTGCAGGTGTTTCTGGCTCTGGAGCTGTGGAGTCTGGATCTGTGGCTGCGGGTCACCTGCTGCCCCTGTGTTCCTGCTCGACACCCTCTACTGCAACGACTATTGTTACTAGTCCTATTGTTATTATTGTTATCATAATCATTAACATTATGATTGTTATCATTAACACTATTATAAATATCTGTACTATTTTTCATTTAGTCTATAGCAACATCACCTTTACTGTCTGTACCTCTGTGTGTATATTGTGTAGGCTGCCTCCCTCCCCTCTGTCCTTCCATCTCTCTCTCTCTCTCTCCCTCCCCCTGTCCTTCCATCTCTCTCTCCCTCCCCCTGTCCTTCCATCTCTCTCTCCCTCCCCCTGTCCTTCCATCTCTCTCTCCCTCCCCCCCCCCCCCCTCTCTCTCTCTCTCTCTCTCTCTCTAACATTATTTATCAAATTGGGCCGGACTTGATGAATTTAGCGTGAGGATACACATGTGACAACATCCGTTTTACTGGACCCTCTCGGGCCTCAGACCCCCCCACCATAGTCTCTCCAAATCCGGATGGAAAGACTGAGTAAAAAGCACATTTTGATTATTTAATTTACGCAATGGTAAAAAATTTGCAACATAAATGGAAAAAATGTGAAAAACCTTGTTCAGAACTTGGGAACAGTTTTCTCATTATGTTCAGTTCAGGTTCCCTAATGCACAGGGCAACTCCCTCTTATTGGGCTGGTTTTATCATTAGCACATTTCTTGTCTTTCTTTAAAATTGTCAGAACTTAATCAGCACAACCTGCAGTGATTCTGTTCCAAATGTATCAATATTCTTATAAATAGGTGTGAGTAGGTTTGGCAGATAATTTGACTGTTTTTATTATAAGCCATTTTGGCAAGTGAACCAGCAAGTTAATGTGGATAAACATCTGGTTACAATATCCAGTCAGAAGCAAAGTGTTCAAAACTAAAAGGTCCCTCACATGTTGTAATTTTGGGATGTCCTAACTGTAAAAGAAACTAAGTGAAATTCTTTGACGTTAATCCAGAACAGAGGTCCTAGTTCTCATTGTAACACATATTTACATATTTAGAGCTCTGAAGACCAAAGACTGCACCAAAATCCTGACAGTGTCAGAAATGTTGGACCAATATCCTACGATGCGATTGCTGCCATGTCTATAAATCACCAGACCAGAATACGGAATTAAAGGAACCCAGAATACACTGGCTGAAACTGCTACAACTTAATCAGCATCACTTTAAAGTAAAAAAAAAACAAAAAAAACACAGTACAGTGCTGTGGCTAAAGCTAATTTTTCAAAACATTTAAGCAGCTCAGAACCCTCCTATGAATTTACCTTCACACTACACAATTTTAGCCCGATTTGCCAAATATCTGGAAGAGTAACTCTTCATCTCTCTAACTCTTCTTCAACTCGACATCCACATCCAGCCAATGAGAGCAGACAGCTACTTTTTCACTGTAAAACACTTTTTACTCACCTCCAGCTCTCTCTGTAGCTCAGATGATCCCTGCTATCTGCATGTGCTAATCCATTCTTTCACCCAGATTTTTTGTCTTTATAATTGCCATCTTTATAATAACAAACACCAGCTGTGCTTCGCGTCATTTCCCGTTTCATACTTCATGTGTGTTAACTTGACAAAATGTGGTTTGGAGACCAGCATCGGGTGACAGAGTCCTTGTCAGCTCCTGTAGTGTGTGACCCCCTGACACCGATCAGTCACGTACACAACATGACGCTGAAAGCCGTGTAGTCTGCACGAGCCTTTAGTCATCTTGGGTTATGGTTCCAGGGTCATGTAAATGTAAATGCTCCGTACTTGTATAGCTCAAAGCGCTTTTACACTACATCTGCATTCACCAGTCACACACATTCATACACTGACCCTAAGTGCTCAAACGGAAACTAACATTCACACTCACTCATACACTGGCGGAATAGCCATTTGGAATGTATTTAATTTGAATTATTTTGCAAGGTCATTCAGCTGTCAATCTGCCCTGAGCTTTGTTCAGTGACTTACCACATCATATCCAGTGGGTGCCCTGTTCCTAGAGGCTACAACTCCGACTCCAGTGATTGGGTCCATGGGCATCTCTGGTAAAGCTTCAGAAAGGTCCCGAACCTCAGGCATCTTTGTTCTGCAACAAAAAAGGCAGTGACAGGTTAACTTCCTGGAAACTGGTCTGAACGGTGGAATTTGCACAATTTCCTTGATCAAAGTCAGTGTACCTACATTGGAGGTGAGCTAAAACCCACATTTCCCTCTACTGCACATTACTGGGATGTTTACTTTAGAGTCAGAATTGAGTTTATTGCCAAGTAGGGCTGTACCTCACAACTAATTTACTCTAACAAAGTCTCTAGCGTAAGTTTAAGCCATTCTCTTGCACATACGTGGCAATAAAGTAAACAGGAAACATCAAACGGCTGAATGTTAGATGATGCTAGGCTTGGGCACCATTTCTAGTTTGCAGAACTTACAGAAAACCATGTTGAGTGTCTGTCTAAAATACTCCCAAACTACAGAGATAATAATCCAATCGAATGTGAGGTAACCTAACTCACTGACAAAGATGTGGAGGCTGTCCAATAATGTAACGTGTCTATGTGGGAAATCCGTTTAGTGGAAGGGCCTGCGCCTTGTTGATGAGGCCAGCTGCAGGAACAAACTGTTTTTGTACCCAGGGTTTTTCCTGCATAGCTTTTTACGAGACGCCACCTCTGTCCAGCTCTCGACAAAACTCTTGAGGAGTGTCTTCATGGTAAACACCATTTTCAAGCAAACGTTGTACTTTCTCTGCATAGCAAATGATGCTCAGTGTGAAATCAAATTTCTTGGCTAGAAAGTCATTCTTCTGCTTTGGCCAGAAAAAGCCTCAAGACATTGATGAAGCTATTGTGAAGCTTGTGTGTTTTTCGTTTGGCTGATGTGCTGATGGCTACATTGCGTATTCTCTCGTTCCTGAATAATGGTGCCTGTGTGTTACTGGTAGCTTATTATTGCTGCTCCAGCTCAACCCAGTCAACTAATAGTCTACAATACAGATCAATTACAGCCTACCAATAAAGCTTATTTTGATGGCACTAAAATAGAAATAAAGTAACTCCATATTTTGACGTGATTAACAACATGTAAACTGGAATATTCATTTGCCATGTAAACAGCTTAGTAGGAATATGGTCGTTTTTGAATAAGGAAGAAACCACAATATTTTGTGCATATGAAAGTAGTCAGTATCATGTCATTCTGTATAACTGACATCCTCAACAGTGAGCACTTGATACCGATTTTCTTTTAAATTAACTAATTAATAATTTTTTTTTGTCTATTAATACACACATTTACAATTATCTATTTATTTTCATTAATAACACACACACACACACGTTAATGTGTCATTTACTTAGTTTATTTAAATTTTTCATATATTTTATTTTTTTAAACACACAGTTTTATTTATTTACTTTTATTTTTAATATTTTATTTTATTATTATTTAATTTTTTATTAACACACACACACACACACACCTTTTACTGTTTTATGTCCTTATTTAATGAATGAATTGTCCTTATGTAATTTATATGTAGCTTTGGCAATATTGTTGCTATACATTCATGCCAACAAAGCTAATTTGAATTGAACATTCCCTTTGCATGACATCACATTAACAACAGAGCACTTCATGACGCCTCATGATCTAATACATATTTCCATACCCACACTACATTAGTGTTGTCAAAAATATCGATTAGTTGATACATATCAATTCTGAATATTTCAAAACAGATTTAATATTAATTTTCCAAGGCATCAATCCTGAAAATGCACTTCTCTTCTCCCAGACAGCAAGCTGATACCAACATCGCTGCAGTGCCCACACAGCCCCGCCTCCTGTCACTCACAGCGCCTTCTTCTCATCTCATTTGCTCCGTTTGAATTAGGGCCGCACTATTACTCTAATTGCAATCGCAATGTTGTCATGTGCGATTACATAACCGCAAAAAGTATGCGATTTGATAAAACAGAACAAGTGTGTAAACATATGGGCCTATTTGCAATCAGAAAAATTATTGATGAGCAGTGTGGAGTAACTAAGATAACAACCTACCATAACCCCCCACCCCGCAGCACCGCTAATTGTTCAAAACATAGTCAGACGGGCCACCAGAGCACCGAGAGAAATGGCTATGGCTATGGCGTGTTATGCCGAGTTTTGCATGCTTGCTGAGAATTGCATGCCCCTCCAAAAACAGCTTTTAAACACTATAATATCCTTTGTGGGGTCCATTAACGGTGATAAATTATTCAAAGTATTTTATGAACGTTTAGAGTGGTTAATGATTTATTACACAGTAGAAGTACCATTCCTTATGATTCAGCTAAAATATGTGGTGATAACCGCGTCTGATCAGTGTGCACAGCAAAGTGTCTGAAAAGGACCTTAACAATGAATAAATGAATGAAGCTTTATTATTGTGTCATGCGTATAATTACACCCAGCCTGCATGGGCTTACAGGACACCAACATTAATATACAGAAATAAAATTTAAAAAAAAATTATATACAAGATAGCCAGGTCCAGAGTACATCATATACATTGCTAACCAAATAGAGACAAGAATTAGAAACAGAATAATACTAGTGTGATATATATATATATATATATATATATATATATATTTTTTTTTTTTTTTTCATTCAGATACATGCATGTATATATTCATTCACAGATGTATTCGCATTTACTCAAATAACCATACATCTAAGCCCACAATCTTACACAGGACAAAATTAAATCTAGTTAAACAAACTAGCTTGCCTTCTTTTCCAAGCCTTTGATACAAAGTTTGCAAACTTAAATACAACGCTCTCTCTCTCTCTCTCTCTCCTTCACCCCAACCGGTCGAGGCAGATGGCCGCCCACCCTGAGCCATGGTTCTGCTCGAGGTTTCTGCCTCTTAAAAGGAAGTTTTTCCTTGCCTCTGTCGCCTAGTGCTGCTCTTGGTGGGAACTGTTGGGCTTCTGTAAATAACATCATAGAGTACGGTCTAGACCTGCTCTTTATGAAAAGCGCTGTGAGATAACTGTTGTTGTGATTTGGCGCTATATAAATAAAATTGAATTGAACATTAAGAGGTGGATGCATAATTCAGCAGAACAGATGTTGGAGGCTACCTGCTGAGATTTGCATCCACCTCCTTTCTTAGCATGAATTAGCGTTACCACCCGCGAGGTGCATGCGATTCTCGGCCGGCATGCACAATTCGGCACAACACCTGTTGCTCAGATGGAGACACAGAGACGACAGCAGCAGGGGAAGCAGTAAGACAGATTTGGGTTTGGCTTGCTGGCCATTTAACCTTTTAACGCTGTATTGGTGCCTTTTGTTGTTCAACTTTTCATCAACCGACCAATCACAGCCTGGATGGGGCGGGACATTAAAAAAGGTTCGACATACTACAGCAAATCATTAAATGTTGAACAATGTTATTATTGACAAGTTAGTAACAAATTAGAGACCAATGTAGAGCCTTTTTCTTGCCCAAGGATTAAATAAATAACCCACAGAAATGAAACAGCTGTAACTGGATTTAAGATTCTACTAGCTGTAAAATAGTAGGCTATACTATTATATGAAATTATAATGAATATAGGCTATTATTGTTATACTGACAGTATACTATTAAGTGAAAATGATACTGTTTATTTAATGTTATAATATTATAGTAATACTAGTTCCTCCTCCAGGTTGTAGATAGTGTCTCTGCAGTGGACAGATTAGTAGATTTAGCCAGTGCCAGGATGCCAGTGGGCCAATATTTGCTCCTTCTAGCCGCCTCCTCTGTAGAGCAACACGCTCCCTTAGTTCTGTTTTACTAATTATTGTTATAAATATTATTTATAGCTTAACTTTGTTAAAAAACACATTTCAAAATGTCAGTATTTTGTTCATTTTCCTTGATAATCAAGCAAGTAGACTCATAGTACCATTTGTTCCATTATAATCGAATTGCAATCCGCAATATTGTCCACAATAATCGCTATATGACTTTTTCTCCAAATCGTGCAGCCCTAGTTTGAATCAAGCTTTTTTTTCCTGCAAGAGTTTCAACAACTCCCACCCTACTGTGCTGTGATTGGCTAGTGCTCATCACTTGTGATTGGATGCTGCTGACAAAGGACACAAACAAGCCCATATGAAATGACGGTACAGAGTGGTGCTAACGAAAGTGCCAAGCACCTGCAGGACCGACACTTTCTATAAAGAACCTGGAGAGGTTGGAGATGTCTCTACTTTCAACATCTCTAAAGTATTAAACAAGATGGCTCAGTAAACGGTTGTTGATAAGATAGTTGTCCTGTTGTTTGCCTAACAAACATTTATAAATCTCAAAACTAAAGCTAAAGCATGACAAAAAAAAGAACAATTTATTTACATAACCTACTTAATCATACCAAATCAACAAAATCTTAATATGTCAGCAAAATCAAGCTGGCAAAACACACAAATTTTTTTTTATTATTTTTTCTTGAATGAATAATCGTGATCTCAGTATAGATCAAAATAATTGTGATTATCATTTTGGCCATAACCGTGCAGCCCTATCTCAGACAGCGACAGAGTTTTAGTTGATAGAAAATACTCTTGACTAAGGTCAGAAGTAAATTAACAGATGCTGTTCTGCTTAACACACAGTAGGGCTGGGCAATAAATCAATGATAATTGTCATGATAATTATCGCAATATAATTTTCCTCAGTAACAATATAACAAGTTGTAAATATCGTCAGTAAATGTTTGATTTAATAAATTTGAATGAAGAAGAAATTAGCACTTAATTTTTCTATTAATATATTTATTTTGTTGAGGAAAAGGGACTACTTCTTCTATTTTGCAAACAGCGCCATCATAATCACGTCATGTTCACTTGATCACAACATAAGCGCGACAGTAATAGAAGAGTAATAATTGTCCGTGCGAAACAGTGCACTATATAGTGATATGGATCAAACGAAGCACTGATGCAAAGGATTTGTGTTGGTGCTTTTTAGTAATCGACTTACTGAAATTTCTCAATAAATTGTTTCAGCCCCGATCTCAGTGGCATAAAACTAACAGATGTTAGTTTGAATTGGTTTCCTGACACATTTACATAAAGTGACAGGAGCCTAAATAGGAAAACAGGGCAAAGTGTAAAATACAGATGGGTCACCAAATAAGAGGAATAACCAAATAACCAACATGAAGTGTCTTAGTATGGGGTCAGGCCACCACAATCCTATGTGGGTTCTGTTGTTACTGTGTGACTGGTGTTTTGAACCCTTTCAACCACCAAAGTCACCAAGTTTCTTTTCCCCAGATTATCTGTCTCATATTCTACTGTCAGAATATAGTAACAGTTTCAGCAACTATGCCAAAAAGATATTTTTATAAAAGTTACCTACTAAACCTTTAACTCAGTTCAGGACAAGGCACATCACTTCAGCTCCTGTCACCCAATACCAAGCACAGAACCAGCTCATATAGCCCAAGTTGCCAAAAATAATTAAAATAAAATGTTTAGAAAAATTTAGTGCAGCCAGGTTTAACACAACCAAATGTGTCTGTTTTCATTTTGCTTTCATTTAACATGTTTGGCCTGACCTTTTGTCATTGGATGATATATTACCAGATTAGCTTTATCTGTACTTGAAGTAGCTGGTAGTATCCTCAGAAAACTACACTCAGTTCTCATGTCTATGAAGCCTTGTTTGTCCTCACTGATGTCAGAAGGTGGACCATGCAGTGGAACACATTTGCATGTCATTAACGTTAAACTGAGCTTGTTTTTAGTGAAAACAGATGTGTGTATTGTTCAAACCGATAATGGATTAGTGATACATTAATCTACACACAAACAGCAAACTATTTAAAAATTTGTTTAAAGCCATCTTGTTTAGTAGCAAACAAATTAGCTGCTATTATCACGGAGTTAAGCAGCTCTCTGCTGATGCCACTTGAAGTAACACTGATGTTAAAGAATAAACACTTTTCACAATTCAATCAATTGGATTTGTATAAATACATTTCTTTGAGTATTACCAAACGTCTCTGGTATTACCTAGATATATACTGAATTCACCTCAACATCCTGATCATTTAGTTACATTTCGCATTAATGCGATATGGACCGCGGTTGTCAACTGTAGCTCAAAGGGTGGCGGAGGTAGTTTAGCTAACGTTATGCCACACAGCCAACATGCTAGCCAGCTAGCACACTAGTGTAACCAAACACCAGCTGCGGCAAACGGTTAAGGTTGTCTAACCTAAATTAATGCTGGTGTTCCTGGTCAGCCCGGTGGCCAAATGTTGCCCACCAGGCGGTTTCAGATATTGCCATGAATACGAGGCATTGCAGTATCCCATCGTCTGAGTGTCGCTTGAGGAAACTGAATAAGCTGCTAATGTTAGCTAACTAGCTTAGCTGAATAACGTTAGTGCACTTACCCAGCGAATCCGACCGCTCGTCGTGTATTTTCTTCTGTGTTTTCCTCGCTCAAACCTTTTCAGAGCTTTGGGGAGTGTCGCATCTTTACGAAAATGTTCAAATCAACGAACCATTCCAAAACATAAGCTGCTCTGTATCTGCATGGTGGTCTTCCAGCTAGCGGTTTCAGGATGGGATCATCAGTGAAACGGGGGAGTGATCAGTGAAAGAGCCTTTCCCCCAGTCCCGCCCCGGTGCCTCCGGTGTGAACATACGTGTAAACGCGAACCCTTGCTGTTGCTATCTTGTTTTGTTCTGACGTATCAAAATTTCTAATTAAACTTGGCAGTGGAGGTCTGACGGCAACCTCTTTCATGCATGTCTCCAGAAAAACAGATGAATGTGGGTTTGAAGAAGCATTTCAAGCATGGAACATTTTTTTAGATGATAAGTCTGGATTACCAACCAGCAGTGGCGGAGGGGGACAAGAATTCAGACCTGGCACTGTAAACACACCAGCCCACATTACCACGCACACATTCACTACTTAGGCTACATTTGTGTACAGATAGTGAAATAATATGTAGGCCTACCATATGTAACAGATTTGTAACATTTAATGTATGTGACTGGTCCACAAAGCTTAATAGTTTTTAAAGAATACACGTTTATAACAAATTTAGACATGCAGTTAAAACAATGGCTGTCCATCTGAGTATGTTGTAGAGTCTGTGCTCTCTGTCTGTTTGTCTGCTGTTGCTGTCTGTCTCTACTGCAGATTCAATCAAACCAAACATTTATGTGTCACTGTTTTCTTCCTCGCTCTTCCACATTCCTCCCCGTCTCTGTCAGGCCTACAGTAGCATCCTTCCTCCCAGCACTGGTACTAGAAGATCAGATGTCTCTGGCTGCACTGATTCAAGCAACATACTAGTTCATGAACACAGAATAGGATGTAAATGTGGCAGAAAAATGTTTTCTTACACACTACTCTCAACATTGGACAATAGGCAATCGGGCGACGCACCACCAAACCGGGAAGGGCAGGGTATTTTTCTCACACTTTCTACCACTATCATAGGTGTCATTTACACTGGGGATGTTGGGGCCATGTCCCCATGCCAAATGGCTGATTTTGTTCCCACCACTTTTTTAAAGCATAGTTTGTTAAAAAAAAAACATTTTGAAATATAGTTTGTAGTTAAATAACAAATGAAAATGCCTTTAGAAAGGTTTGCACATTAAGAAAACATGAAATGCAATTAAAATACAGAAGAAACAATGTGCATTGTTCAAAAGTAACTTAAGCTAAAACAAACAAGCTACTGATTATAAAATGACCCAAAAATGTGCATGCACCAATCAACAACTTGAACAAATTTCTTTTTGGCTAAGATTTCCGTTTTCTCCATGTGAACATGACAAAAGAGTAGGAAAAACTAAATCATGTCTATATATGTGTTGCCTCAGCAGGGATGATATTACATTAGAAAATTTGATTTACAGGAGAAACAGATCTGAAAGCAACACAAAATGCCTGAGAGCAGCACTGCACTAGATTCAATTATATATTTTGAAATGTGACGTGCTACCTGAATTTTGTGTTTCCTTTTCCATAAATAAAAACATTTTCACCATAAATTGGTGCAGAAACTTTCACCAGAATGCAGGAAATTAAGTGTTTAAAGATCAAAATGCCCTAGGGGAGGGCCCCCAGACCCCCCACTCATTAATATTGGCATTGAGGTTATCTTTAAAACACTGTTTAAGGATCTTTCGTCTCATTCTGGTGAAGCTAATATCGCGTATTGTGGTATCTTGCTAACTAAGTGTCTCTTCTGAGCCCCTGTGTCCCCAACTTTTCAATACAAAGTGGCGCTCTTGACCACACTGTTTGTTAGCTGTGACAGTTTGCCTCTGAATATCGTTGTCCAATCAGTGTCAAGTCGTGGTCCGTGGAGTCCCGCCCATATGGGGCGATTTCATTCCGGTGGAAAATCACCCAAATCACTCTCAGGCTGTATTCGAAACCGCCTACTTATAGTAGTAATACGTACTGATTTGGCTTAAATGTAGTATGCAAACAAAAGCAAAATCTGCAGTAGGCATCGGACCAGTCTACCTCGCGTACTGTTTCCCATAATGCAAAGCGCTGGTATTCAGTTCAATTCAATTTTATTTATATAGCGCCAAATCACAACAACAGTTATCTCACAGCACTTTTCATAAAAGAGCAGGTCTAGACCGTACTCTATGATGCTATTTACAGAAGCCCAACAATTCCCACCAAGAGCAGCACTAGGAGACAGAGGCAAGGAAAAACTTCCTTTTAAGAGGCAGAAACCTCGAGCAGAACCATGGCTCAGGGTGGGCGGCCATCTGCCTCGACCGGTTGGGGTGAAGGAGAGAGAGGGAGAGAGAGAGTGAGAGAGAGAGAGAGAGCAAGAGAGGAACAGAGAGAAAGAGAGATGGATGGAAGGAGAGAGAGGGGAGGGAGACAGCCTACATAATATACACACACAGAGGTACAGACAGTAAAGGTGATGTTGCTATAGACTAAATGAAAAAATGGTACCGATATTTATAGTAGTGTTAATGGTAACAATCGTAATGTTAATGATTATAATAACAATAGGACTAGTAACAATAGTCGTTGCAGCAGAGGGTGTCGAGCAAGAACACGGGGGCAGCAGGTGACCCGCAGCCACAGATCCAGACTCCACAGCTCCAGAGCCAGAAAACCTGCAGGAAGTGATAGGAGGAGAGAGGAGAGGGACGAGGAAGCACAAGACTACCGGAAAGGGGAGAAGTTGTGTTAGTAACATGCAATAATGGGATGAGGTTGCATACAGAGGGAGAGAAAGTAGAGGAGAGAGGAGCTCAGTGCATCATGAGAAATCCCCCGGCAGTCTAGGCCTATAGCAGCATAACTAAGGGATGGTTCAGGACTCACCTGAGCCAGCCCTAACTATAAGCTTTATCAAAGAGGAAAGTCTTAAGCCTACTCTTAAATGTGGAGATGGTGTCTGCCTCCTGAACCCAAACTGGAACCTGGTTCCACAGGAGAGGAGCTTGATAGCTGAACGCTCTGGCTCCCATTCTACTTTTGGAGACTCTAGGAACCACAAGTAACCCTGCATTCTGGGAGCGCAGTGCTCTGGTGGGGTAGTAAGGTACTATGAGCTCTTTAAGATAAGATGGTGCCTGACCATTAAGAGCTTTGTAGGTAAGAAGAATGATTTTAAATTCTATTCTGGATTTTACTGGAAGCTAAAACAGGAGAAATGTGATCTCTTTTCCTGGTTCCTGTCAGAACACGTGCTGCAGCATTCTGGATCAGCTGAAGAGTCTTAATGGACTTTTTCGAGCAGCCTGATAATAAGGAATTGCAGTAATCCAGCCTAGAAGTAACAAATGCATGGACTAGTTTTTCTGCATCATTTTTAGACAGGATGTTCCTGATTTCCGCAATATTACGTAGGTGAAAAAAGGCGGTCCTTGAAATTTGCTTAATGTGAGACTTAAACGACATGTCCTGATCAAAGATAACTCCAAGATTCCTCACAGTGGTGCTGGAGGCCAAGGCGATGCCATCAAGGGAAACTATATCTTTAGATAATGCGTCACGGAGGTGCTTAGGCCCCAGAACAATAACTTCAGTTTTATCTGAGTTTAACATTAGAAAATTACAGGTCATACAGGTTTTAACTTCCTGAAGGCACATTTGAAGTTTAGCTAACTGATGAGTTTCATCTGGCTTGATCGATAGATATAACTGAGTATCATCTGCATAACAATGAAGGTTTATGGAATATTTCCTGATAATATTGCCTAAGGGAAGCATATGTAAAGTGAAGAGGATTGGTCCGAGCACAGATCCTTGAGGAACTCCATGACTAACTTTGGAGGACTCATCGTTAACAGTACTGTAACAACAACTGGTCTTCTCTTTAGAAGACAACAACAGAACTTGTTTTACAATTTTCCTACGCTGTTTTTCATCACTAAATCCACTTCTAACAAGTTTTGAGGTGAGCAATCAACTGTGTAGATTTCAAATATCAGCAGTTTTAGGAAATGTGAAAATGTGCTCGAACATTGTCGGAATTGAGAAGCTCCGCAAATGCAGAGCTCCAGAATCTGCAACGTGGCCTCCTCACACCTCGGAGCACTACACTTGGGCTCGCCCAACGCTGCTTGCAACTTTAATTAAATTTTTGCACGGAAGCCCTAGGCAGCCATCAATTCGATTCAACAAAGTTCTTATGAAGAGACTGTTTCACATGCTAACAATAACACACGTGCTGGACTGTGTGCATCAGGGCGATTGGTCCACATCCATCAACCTATGGATTTTTCATTCACCCATCATTCCCAAACACAGGAAATTCCTGCGCATCTCATTCAGGAGAATCCATTTAATGTTACACATTTGCTGAAGGCTATTTTGGAACCTTTGAAATAGCCGTGAGGAAATGTGTGATTGGATTCCCCTGAATCTCTTCATACAAACTTTGCTGAACAGGACAATAAAAAACACACAAAAGAAGGGGAAAAAAGTAATTGGGAGTGGGAGTCAAAGACATAATCCTTGAATTAAAAGTCCTGTGTTCTGCAAACTGAGCTAAACACTCACACTGAAAAGTTTTCTGAAATTATCCTAAAGAAACGCACCTGCTGACCGCTGTATTCAGCAATGGTTTGTTATCTCGAGATCACAAGATAATTATCCCGAATCACAGGAAAACAGAGTAAAAAAATATTTGTATGGATTGCCGCTTAGGGCTTCCATAGTTTTGTTTGTTTTGTTTTCGTTTAGATGGTTTATTTATTTACCCCCGGCCCACACTCCAGTACAGTAGGTGGCGGTAATGCACCAATAATGTTGGATGCCAACCGCCGTTAAACAACAAAGAAGAAGAAGAAGAAGAAGAAGAAGAAGAAGAAGAAATTGAACCGGAAATGGAACTGGGCTCTTACTGCTAGGCGGAGCACGGCAGATTGTATTGAGTGGCATTATTATGATTTTGCTAGTTTATTGCTAACATTTGTGAAAATAGTTATATGTTACTCCTGTGTATATGAATGGATACAATGGGGTAATGTGGACCCGTCTTTCCCTGATCGGATGTGACTTCGAAAGGTGGGGCGCAGTCATGGAACTAAGTTAGCTAATGTTACTTGTTAATTTAGCTGCTAACTACAGCTAGCTAATGTTAACCAAAGAAAGCTTCAGTGATGTTAGCCTACACAAACTTACGAGCTTAGTTGCAGTGGCCTGTGGCACTGGTTAAATATGTTTACAGTTTGAATACCGAGTATATACACGTGACCGTGTTACTTTTAGGAGGCGAATGCTGACTTTGCTAATGTTGATCGATATAGGAGTTTTGAGTTAGCAAGTTTCCGAATAGCTAGAAAGAAATGGCTGCATAGCCACCGTCAAACAAGCTACCGGGAATCATCATTAGTTAGTCGGGTTGTCGGGGAAGGTGTTTAAGATTATCACTAGACGCCATAACCAAATACAAAGCACTTCTGCCTTTATAGAGATAACGTTAAACCATGAAACAGTCATCGTGTAATGGTTTGTCTCAAGTGACACAGCTTGACAAACTTGACATCCCACTGCAGCTTAGCGTTAACGTTAGCTGCAATTAGCGTCAGTCGGAGAAGCTTATTGCCAAGTAGGTTTACACATACAAGGGATTTTCTTTGGCGAGTTGGTGCATAACAGTGAAAATAAAATATAAGTTGACAAGATACTAAAAAATGTACAAGAACAATAAAGAATATCATCTGTTAAAATGACCAACAGTGTTCATATTCAGGACAGTCACACACCGAGTCCGTGACAAAATGTCAATATTGTAACAACAAAATAGTTTTGACAGTTCAGCGGTTCCAAGCTAACTTACTCCAAATAACCAGTTACATAATATATGTTCCAGTCATAAGCACACATCAGATTTGACGCTGTAATGCATAAGGGCTTGTGCTATACATTCAGACTCTGACTGTGTTTGTTCACTCATTTTTAACTTCAGTTGAATTTTTCTGCTGCTATTGGTTGTTAAACTCTGGTACGAGTGTACTGCAAGCATGACGCAGTGACTGCGTGGAGGCGTTTCTGATATTTTGTTTGCAAAGTGAGTGACGTTGCCTACTGATAGTGTCTGCTCAAACATGTTAAAACAACAATTTATATATTATCGTAGACATTCATACCGCACACCTCTATTCACGAGCTATGCTTGGAGACTGTTTGTGCCATTCTGCAAAGTATGGTCATGTTATGAGAAGTTTTTGAACAGTGATGGAAAAATCCTAAATATGATTTTAATGCTCTATAACCACAGATTGTATAATAATAGGCCATTGCAGAACAAGCAAAGGTACAGCGTAGCTGCGAAGTTGATGTTCCTCTGCAGAATGCTTTACTGTCCTGACTGATAATAATAATAATAAAAATAATAATGCATAATCACAGCTTTTGCAATTAGAAAATCTCGTTTTATCATATTGCGATATTATTGCAAAATGCAATTAATCGTTCAGCTCTAGGTGGAAATGTCTTTCCATTATTGGTCGTAGGTATAGCGGGGAAAAAAGACAAAAAAAATCTACCTGGATATCATGGAGCACGCAGCTTTTAGAAAATCAGGCACATGAACTTCTTGTAGTGGTTATTAAATAATTTAATAAAACAGCCATTTTAAGGAAGAAAATGAAACCGTGAAGTTGGTGCAAACATGCGAAAAACGTTTGCCCATGCAAAAGGCTTTTCATAAAAGCAGCTTATTCACAGAATCCGTATGTATCTCTTTGAATGAATGAATGAATTAATGCATTAGCCTACATGCTACATTGATAAAAGTTCAAAAAGGTGCTTGCTTTATCAAAGATAAAATGACACATTATAATAATTATTAGCCATAATAACTATTGTTATATATTACATTTGTTGTAAAAGTAGGTTATTTTTTCTATCGCTTTAATATTTTGATCGTAATTTTTCTATTCTATATATTTATACTGAAGATCAAGATCAAGTGAGTTTTGGCCCTTCTGCTCCATGGAAGGTTTTTGTCCTCACTGAGCTCGCATTACTGGTTGACATTCACATTCTCTACCTTCTGTTAAGGACCGTTGCAGCAGCCTACTTTGGCTTTCTTTTTATTTCCTCTTATTGTATGAGCCAAACACCAAGGTAAATGGGCAAACAGTGAAAACCTTCTTGGTAATAAAACATATTCTGATAAATATGAAATATTATAAATAACAACATTACATTAAATCAGGGCTCCAGACTGGTCTCATTCGTGCAAGATGATCATAAGCTGTTTCACTCGCAAATGCCTCTAAAGTAGAGCATGCAGACCGCAACCTACAGTAATCCCCGCTCCACCGCTAACCGTGGGGAGAAATCCTGGTTGGCAGATCGCTCTGTGGCCACTTCTGCAGCTTTTTATACAATAACTGCGAGACAGATGCGTCATCGGCAGCTTTGGCTAGCTGGCCATTTAGCTAAACACAAGCTGTTTGTTGAAACGTTAAACTTTTCATAAAGTTGGTGAGTTCGTCAAGTTTGATGTGCTACACCAAACTTTCAAATGTTGAACTCGTTCTGCATAAATGGTTCTGATTATTGACTCTTATCACTTAGCATTAACTAATTAAAGACTAACTCAACACCCATGTAGAGCATTTTTCTTGCTCAAGGATTTAAAGAAAACAACCCAGAAAAATGAAACTGCTGTAACTGGATTTAATATACTAGTGGCAAGCTAAATAGCAAATATGAAATTATTATCAATATAGTAACATAATTATTAATATTATACTAACAGTACACTAAATGAACATTATACTTTTTATTTAATTTTATAATTATCATGTGCTGGTGCAACCAACTGAGAAACTTGGTAGCACCAGTGCTGCCAGTGGAAAAGTCTGGAGCCCTGCATTAAATAGTACAGTAATATAAAGAAGTACTATTTTAAAAGACGCGTACAATGGTGTCCCGTGATTTTTTCAAATGGCATTCACACCTGAAATAGACTGCTCCAGATTTTACTTGACAGTGGTCCGCACCAGCGTTTGAGTTTAGCGTTCACACCATGTACCCTTATCCACTGCTCCATCACCACCACACGATGAACACGTGTACAAGTTTGAACACACGTAACAGAGGTTGTGCCATACCATACCTAAATGATTGATAAATGAACCATATATATGAACCACTGGCGAATCATAAATATGTTAACACATTTATTTTTTAACCAGATTTGTTTCTAACTCACAATTTCCAGCCTGCACCATGTGATTAATGTTATCTAACTTTAAACAGGTACTTGCACTGTTCTTGGCTTGGGACAGAGAGAATAAGCAAGAAAAGGGGATGGAAAAGGTGTTATCAGCGACCACTTTTAACACCCTCGCTGAGAGAGACTGAGAGGAAGTGAAGGGAATCCTCTGGTGTACACACAATAGACTGAGAAAAAGAGAAATCATCCAGAGCTATAAGCCACACTTCATAAAGCAGAGGAAATGGCTTTCTTGGACAATCCAGCCATCATTCTGGCCCACATCAGACAGTCTCATGTGACCAGTGATGATACAGGAATGTGTGAGATGGTACTAATAGACCAGGATGTGGATCTGGAGAAGTGCCAGCTGGCTCTGGTGCCCGGCAGCAGCTGTGGGTCTACAGAGTCGGGGTCCATGAGCGAGGGAGGCAGCAGCGTGACAGACAGTCATGCCTGTGATCTCTCCCAGTCCATGGACATCACCTCCAGCTGGGACTTTGGCATCCGTCGGCGCTCCAACACAGGTAGGTTCATCTCCAGGCCTAGCCTCCCTCCTGTCATTATGGTGGGAACAGCCCGAAAGCCTGTTCTGCTGTTGATTAGAGGGGGTTTGTGTGTCTAATCTGGGTCAGTGGTTTAGTGAGACTCAAGTCAAATTGTGTGCTATTGAAGGTCGTGCTGGAAGTGGTAGGCATGGGGTAAGATTGCAGTTTTCTGTGTGAATGTTATTAATTGCTATGAGGTGAGTAGCACAGATCAAATCAACAATGATTAATGCTCCTTTTGCATGCCAGGATACTTTGTAAATTAAGCAGTCCATGTGAGATTGTCCAGATTTTTCTATTTATTACTTGATGAAGATGATGGGCAAAACATGGTATGAGCCTTGCAACACAAGGCCATTGGTTCCCTTTGCTCTATGATCCAGTGCATACTCCTTACAAGGTACACTTAGCAGACCCTAACCATGTGCTGGTTGTGCAGGTTCACAAGATTACAAGAATTAAAGGAAAACTACTGATTATTACACTTTAGGGTTAATTTTCATAGCTCAGCCCATTAGTTGTTATCAGTTGCTTTGTGTACTCACCAATGCAATTGTTAAGATTCTGAGGGCAAGTTGCAACGATGATTAACAATTATGGAAAGCTGAGTCTTATCAGTAGCGGTTATAACAATGCACATTTGTGCAGTTCTATCACCAAAAACATTACAAAATATTAAGGACTTAAAAGAGAGGTCACAAAAAGTGGTCCACATCGTCTGAAGCACAAACCATTCTCAAACTTAGACTATGTAGCTATGTACTGTATCAGCTTAAATACATGAGCAAGCATCCAGGAACTGCTACTTCTACTACTGTACACAAACACACACACGTTATGACGCAATGCTACTTTCACTCACCAGGTAACATTTCTATAGCATCAGCCTAATCGGGCTTGTTTTTCTGTAATGTTAACGTTCCCGTCATCTGCGTCATCAGCCGCAGTGTCACCTGGAGCAGCAGGAGATTCAGTGATTCACATTAGTTAATTTCAAGCTTCGCAACACAGATGGGTTGACTTTATGTAAGAAGGTTTGCTCACAAAACGATGTTGTTACATATTATATCGCTATTTTAAGTGGGCATACGGAAATCCTTGACCTTTCCTAGTGGTGTATACCTGCCTATCACGTAGACTACACCACCGGTCAGACGGGTCAAGAAACACAAGCTGTCAGACAACCAGACAGGTTGGAAATAATCCCCTCTCTCCTTATGTGGAAGAGAAAGCAAAGGGAAATTATACAATCATCCCTCAAAGGGGCTGTTTCTCACTCTGCGTTCTTGTGCAGTGGTGAAACGTCGTCAGTCGCAGCCGAAGTACTGTTGCAATTCAAAAGTACAGTCAAATACCCCGATGTGTTCTCGCTTCGCCTGTTTTACTGAGCCTGCATCGGTGGTGACTTGTGTGGACTTAGGATAGCCAAGTATCCCAGAATGCATTTTGCGCCAACAAGCGGAAATGGCAGACGAGACTCACAACTGTAAGTTATAATACTGCTGTTCTAGTGTCACTATGCAGTTTTAAGAGTTTTTTATGCAGGAATATAGTTATTTAAACTCCTGATGTGGTTGATTTCTCAAGATAGAGCTGAAAACGGAATTGTGATTTGAAATCGCAAGTTCGGTTTCATTTCGGCAACTTTGTTAAACATAGCCCACTACTGATGGAGAAAGTCAGCAGAGCACACACAAACTGGGAGAGAGACAGGAAGAGGAAGTGTTTGAAACAGAGGTGTAGTGTGTGTGAGTGTGTGGGGGGAGGGGGGACTGAAGGGAAATGGAGCAGATTCAAGTAGGCGATTTTTAATTTTTTGCGTTTTTTTCCTCGTTACTTGAATCTGCTCACCCTGCTTTTGCCTTTAGTTCTCTTTTCCCCACACACACTCTTACACCTCTGCTCTCTTGCTGCAAACACAATGGCTTGCGCCACATCTTTCTGTCTCTCTCTCTCTGCATGTTTCTGCTCTGCTGACTTTCTCCATCAGCAGTATGAAGTATATAAAGTCACCGTAAAGACACAGAACTCTTCTTTTGGATTTTTCTGTTTTCACAGCAGCAGGTGCGCCGCATGTAAAATGTAATGTAAAATATCCACCATGTCTTTTAAGGTAATACCAGATAACAACTCTGTGTTTCTCTGCAAAATGCTAAAATGGGTTGCCAAATATACCTGGACGGCTGTTAATAGGTAAGTATAAGTATACAAGTAAAGTCTATTTCTGGGAAACACTGGCATATCAGGCTTGTCCTTCTTCTGCCTCAACCGGTTCTACGTTGTTGTAATTTTCTGTAGTAAGTATCTGCTGTTCAACATCAATCAATCCAACATGATCCGCTCAGTTTCAGTCGTCACTGTTTGTAGTAGCCTACACCAATGAAGAAAAAGGACCTTGACAGAGTGGACATGGAAACGTATAAATGCTCCTGGCAGACCGGGTAATATTTATATAATTATAATTATACAGACAGTAAATATTATATGTTATAAAGAGTGGCCAAATAAATATATTGAGCTTTGAAATCTGGGAATTTAAGTCAGAACGTTTTCTCTCAGGTATAGTTTCCCATTGTTTCACAGCACACTCTGACGTCTGCCTGTAGAATGGCCAAATTGACACACGGGAAGCGCTATCGATAGCAGCAACAATAACAAGGCTGCCTGTATGTGCAGACAAGTTTAATCGGTCTTGTGAGCGCTTAATTGTCCGATGCCAATTATGAAAAGAGCCATTAATCAGCAGTTTTCAGAATTGACCACTATTTTCTGATGTTTGGTTTTTGTCATTCCTCACATTTACATTCAGTTTTGCTGATTTTGATGACAGTGTGGCAGCAGCATTCAACTGTCTCGGCAGACAATTCTACACCAGTCACCACCCAATCAATGTTCTTCAGAATTCAGACTTCGTCATGTGATGGTCTGATGTCAGCCCTTTAAATCTCAAGGTTTGGTGTCCTAATCAACATCAAATAATCAAATCAGTTATCAAATTAGTATACTGTGTTGAAGGTGGCATGTAGGTGTGGAAATGATGTGTTGTGAGTTTGAATCAAATGAAAGGGGTATGAATCTTTTTTTTTTTAAGCTACATTCAGGTGTTTTATATGGAAGGTATGTGGTTTTGGTGATAGAGGGAGTCCAAAGGTAGACAGCATGTCTCCTTTTGGCTCCCTTGACTTCTGTAGTTTGGTGAAGTTGTGGGTAGAAATCTGCAATCCTCTGAGACTTTCAGACTTGAGATGAGCACTGACCTGTGGTGGCTCTTTTATCAGGACTTCAACAAGACAGCCGTGAGAAACCTGGGGCTGCTGGTAAGATAAGAGGGATGAACAAAAAGTATCCAGGTTTTATTTGATGTTAACTTGTTAGTTCTTGGTGTGTGTACTACTATACATTTCTATGTGTGTGACTGTCTTTTTTTTTTTTAAGCTTGGTCATGTTTGTCAAAATATCACATGTCAGAGAGTCAGTGTGTCAAACTGAATAAAACAAAAGTCCTTCTCATGTGGCTCTCACAGGCTCAATGAAAAATTAAATGACTTTGAACCATATAAAGTGTACTAGTATTTTCATAATAAAATGTAATGTTTCACCAGTTTTTCAGCAAATTGGGCTTGTTCGCATGTGATTCACATTTAAATGTTCTTCATTCTTTTCAGCCCAAAGACTTGAAAGGTTAAGGAAAGAACGGCAGAACCAAATCAAATGTAAAAACATTCAGTGGAAAGAGAGGACATCCTCCCAATCAGGTAGTGTTTCTCACCAGCTTCACTCAGTACTAATTGCGTAGCAAAACCCGACAATTCCTTTTTCACTTATTACTGTTTCTGTGTGTTGTGCATTTTAAAAAATATTTTATTCTGAAAAAGGTAACAGTTTTTATGTTTTGTTGACTTTTTTCTTATAAATTACTGGACAGTTTTAACTCTAAAAATTCCAGTAGAACATTCTCCAATACTCATAATAAAAAGTTTGGATTAGTGGTCGACTGTCTCCCATTAAATACGCTACTACTAAGTGAGCTTTCTGTATTGGCCAGTTTTTTCCAGGGTGTGTTACTGCAGTAAGAGCAGTGATTATTGTGTTCAGTGTACTTGAAAATAACGAAGTGTTTGGTGCATGTTTTTTGTGCTCTTGTGGTTTATATGCAGTTGAGGATCTGGGGACTTTGTTTGAAAAACGGGACTTTAAAGACAGGCCGCGAACAGCAGGTACCAAATCCACCCTCTCACTGCGGCTGGAGCAGTGTCCCCAGCAGCTCAACAACCCCTTCAATGAATACTCCAAATTTGATGGCAAGGTGAGTTATTCCATATTTTCTTATTCTTTGCTTATATATTGATTCTCTATTGGATTGAATTAATCCAATACAGCAAACCTTCTGTCAAGTTATAAAGCATTTAAAAACAACCAAAGGGCTGAACAAAGTTATATAATAGAAAGAATTTTTTTTTTAACCCAGATAAATTAAAACAGGCCAAACAATTAATGACATACAACAAAAAGATTAAAAAAACAAGACAGTTAAAGGTTCAGTGTGTAATATTTCCGAGACTCTATTGACAGAAATGCAATATAAGATCCATAACTATGTTTTGTATTATTTCAGTGGCATATAAAGACCTTACATAATGAACTGTTATGTTTTTATTACCTTAGAATGAGACATTTATATCTACATAACCGCGGGCACCCCCTGCTGTGGAGGTCGCTATTTGTTGTTATGTTTCTACCATGGCCCACAACGGACAAATAGCACTACAGAGCGCGTTTCGTCATCACGACGTTCTTCTTCTGCTTTTATAATTCCGGCAGTGTAGACGCATGTCACTACATTAAATACATACATAGAAGAAGAATAGGGAATAATAATAACAACAATTATAATAATAATAAAGTAGTAGTAGTAGTAGTAGTCTTCTGCTTTATTAGAAGTAAGAAGAGAAGTGACATTTGGACAAATTAACGAGCACACGTGTTATTTAGCATGAGACCTGACAGCCTGTGGATCTTTATACCATGAAGCCAGACGAGTCCGGACAGATACAGACAGCTGACTGCAGAAATGACAGATGTTGTGGATTTTCCCAGATGGAAGGCTATAATATGGGACAGATGTTTTCAAAGCGGTGCTGAAGTTGTCTGTTTTCTGCTGGACAGTTAATTAACTTAAATTTGTCAGACTTTAGTGATGCAAATGAAAGCTGTTGTTTGATAGCTTTAGCTTGAAGCTGGACATAATCACAGAGAGCCCTGACATGTTTCCCCTGTCAGTGGTGTGAAATATGGATTCATTTCATGGCGCCTACTTATTCTCCAGCCTGTGGGTTTGGCTTTGCTGGTTACGTTAGCGAGACAACCAGCTGATCAGTAACGTTAATTGGCAATAAAACCATAACGTTAGCTTAGAGCATGGAAGCATCAGCCAGCTAAACTTTTACTGCCCTGGTAGAAAAATCATGTAAGGTTAGTTGCAATGGTTTATTCTCTTGCACTGGCTTTGGCTTGTGGTGTAAAATATGTAGACTAGATGGATTAATTTCATGTAGTTTCTCTCTCTGTTTTGGCTTTGTCGGTTACATTCGTGAGACAATCAGCTGATCACTAATTGGCAATAAAACGGTACCTGGAAGCTCAGATCAGACAGCTAAACCTTTACTGTGCTGAAAAAATATGTAGTTGGATTGTAATTTAATGTAGTTCTTCTCCAGCGGCTGTTATGGCTTTGTTACGTGGACAGAAATATGCCGTTACCTTCCTGAGCTGAACAGCTGATGAAAATGTTTGGCTATAAAACGGTTAAAGCATGGAAGCTCAGATCAGCAGCTAAACTTCACATTTTACTGCCCTGGTGGAAAACATGTATTTCTTTTTACTGCTAACGGTGATATATAACAAGACCGTGTGCCTGTCAAGTGAGCAATAATAAATACTTTCAGAATTAGTTTTTGTGGATATTGTTTCCCACTGTTTTGTCCTTTCACATGCTAAATGCCCATTTAAAAACATTGCAGTGTTTTACTACAAGCTGAAATTATGGCTGTCAGTACTACTTTGTGTTTCTGTTGTATTTTAAGAAATTAAAAAATATTTTGGTAAGATTTGCATGCTCATCTAATTAAGAAAAGCAAGAGGAGCCTTGATTGTAAACTTCACGTATTATGTGGTTTATAATGGACTGAAACTGAGCTTACATTGTCCTGTTATCTGTCAGTGGTCATACTTGAAACACTAGACGTGATTTCAGAAGGTTTTCATTAGGGCCCGATCACGAACCGTTCAGGACTAAGACTAAATTTTAAATTGGCTGACAAAAATTAACACTAGATCTGAGGGGTCTAGAACAGTGAAGTTAGGAGTTCTGAAATATAAGATGGAGCATGTCCATGTAATGCCTTTAAAAACAATTAACAGCACCTTAAAACTGACTCTATATTTGACTGGTAACCAGTGAAAAGCAGGCAATATTGGGGGGATATGGTTCCTCTTCCTTGTACCAGTCAACAATCTAGTAGCTGCATTTTGAACAAGCTGCAACTGTGATAATGACAAGTGACAGATGCCACAGTAAAAGGAATTGACCCTTCGCTAAGCCATGCCCTGAATACACAGCTGGCCAATCACAGCGCAGTATAGGACTCTGTCTAACTGAGGTCCGACACTTTCATGGCTGCGCTCCGTTGACTCATATGAAAAAAAGAGTTGTTTTCTAGCTTTTTTGGCTGTATTTTTCTAAGATCTGGTCAAACGCTGTTCTGCTTTTTAACAATAGTAATAATGAATAGAGGCCTACCCAGCTGTACAGGAACAGTGTTGATCCTTAATATCGTTGTCTTTTGTCTCAGTCGTCGGGGGATGCGGTGGTTCACTTGTACTGTGTGATCAGTAAGCTTTAACTTCTATGTTTCAGTTTGACAGACTGAATACAACCTTCAAATGTATAATGCAATTGCAAAACTGTCTGCTTCTTTCTGAGATCGCTTTTTCCAACAAATTTGACAATATTTCTCCAGAGAGTGCAGTAATAGACAGTGGCAGCGCCGACAGTTTGTCGGACTTAGCATCAGTAACTAAGGGGGGCGGGGCATAACGAATGGTCAATTGCAGTAACCAATTCTCAAGAGGATACAAGAGCATGCAAGACATTCTCCAAGTCCTTAACAGAGAGAATGGATTTCAGTTTTGCTGTGGTCCTTAAATGGAAAAAGCTGCCTTTAACATCAGAATTTATTTGTTGAATTTCAATGGCGAATCAAAGATAAAACACAAATGTCTAGCAAAGGGTTGCACATTTATGGACAAGGGGCCCAGATTTTTCGAATTGTGTCTGACAAATAATATTACTTCTCTTCTATTACGTTTTATTCTCATTTAGTTGGAAAATGTTTATTGCCATCAACGCTTAATATCATTTAGACCAGTGGTCGGCAATAGGTGAGCTTCGGGCCAGAGCCGGCCCGCCAGCAATAATATCAGGCCTGCGTCCAGATTGGTTTGATAGCAGAAAAATAAAAATAAATAAATTGATAGCAGCTGGTGCTGAAATAGATCTCAGTCATGACAGCTACAGTTACTGATTGTGCCTTCAAAATAAAAGCGGACATTCGAGACTCTGGTTTGCTTGACACACCTCTTAAAAAGCCGTCAGTAATAGTGTGACTGGATTCCTCTGAATTTCCTCAGGAAAATGAAAATAAGTGTCCATAGGTTTATGAATGTGGATCAAACGCCGGAATGCACACACATTGCAGCACATGGAGGGGGAAAAAAATATCCACAGTTATTTGGAATTGGAATTGATCTTACAACCTTCCTAACGGGAGTACCGCACAGTACTGATTGTGTTAAACGTACACACGAGTATTCCGAGATTTGAAATAATTTTACTTTGTTCTGGCCCTCCATGTAACGGCTTGAAAAAAATTTGGCCCGCTGCCAGACTTATTTTCCTGATCCCTGATTTAGACAGTTAAAATTGGACTGCAAGGACTTTTAATCACCTGGTTTCAGTGGTAGGTACAGATGTGTATCATCAGTATAACTGTTGTATAATATATTATGTCTACGGAGAATGGAGCCCAAGGGAAGCATATACAAAAAAAAATAAAATTGGCCCCATTGAAACCACTGTAGAGCAACACCCTTGGATACCAACCCTTTGCTGGAGGTGATCCAGAAGGATGTCATGATCAACAGTGTCAAAAGCAGTGCTAAGGTTCCAGTATCACCAAACAACAACAAATCATTCAGTACCTTAAGCAGTGCTGTTTCTGTGCAGTGATGTACCCTGAAACCTGACTGAAAGTTATCTAGCACATTGTTTTTAGTTACAAATGAGGAGAGTTGAGAAAGAATGACCTTCTCCAATATATGACAGAATCATTTAAGATCATTTAAATTATTAAAATCTGTAGGGTCTAGATTGGGTTTTTAAATAAGAGGCTGAACCACAGCATGTTCAAAAGTGGAAGGAACAATCCCATGTCTAATGAGCAATCACAGGAGTTGAGATGGAGCAATACAAAACCTCATATTTAGTGCCCTATGAAATCCCTCCCCCCTTCAAACAGCGTAGGACGGCTACAGTGGGTGACACAGGACAAAAGATGTTGTCTGCAAATATTGATATATGAAATTCATTTTCATTTTTGATTAATTTGATAAATTAATTACAAAACTTTTTTTTTTTTTTTATTGCTTGACAGCCCTAATTATTATAATTTTTCTACTTTTGTTACTCATTTTTGAATGGCTGAGGATGCTCGAAAACTTGCACACACAAAGTTGGGCAGTGATTGGGCTTGGATGTGGTCAGGGGGCTCTATAGTGCTCCCAAACAACACATGCCATGGTTGGGATAAAACTGATTTGATTTTCATGAGATTTGGTTCTGTTTCATTGAGTTTCTTTTAAGAGTTTGCTCAACAGGAAGTCCGTAATTTAGACGGCAGGTATATTTTTACACTTTTTATCGTCTCCACCAATTATTCACACTTCACACATAATTCACACATTATGCACACTTCAGTATACTCTACCCTCTGAGAATCTTTGTAATGTAATGGTTGTTTCTTATGTCATGTTGTGGAATGTTTTGCATCATACTATGATTAACTGTTGATTTATCCTGTAAGAAAGCCCACCTAAGAGAAAAAACTAAAGTTTTAGGTAGCTTATGTTGTTACTTTGTATACCTTTTTTTCCTGTAATCGGGGTTTCCCTCTGCATAATGTGCTCTCGGTCTCTTCACCTTTTAGGGCCACATTGGCACAACTGCTACGAAAAAGATAGACGTCTACCTCTCAATGCAGATGGCTCAGGAGAAAGTACATCCAATGACAGTGGTGACCATCGCCAACGCCCGCGTCCACGACCTCATTGGGCTCATCTGTTGGCAGTACACAAGCGAGGGACGAGAACCCAAACTCAAGTGAGTACAAACACATTTCAACACCAGTTTCATTTAATGTCAGTTTCTGTGTAACAAACTCTTCTTCTGTCTGTCACATGTCTCCACAGTGAGAATGTGAACGCCTACTGCCTCCACATTGCTGAGGATGATGGCGAAGTGGACACGGACTTCCCTCCACTAGACTCCAATGAGCCAATCCACAAGTTTGGTTTCAGCACTCTGGCCTTAGTGGAAAAATACTCCTCCCCTGGCCTCGCTTCCAGACAGTCGCTGTTTGTCAGAATGTAAGTAAGACCCACTGAGGGTCAATATGTGAATGTGGTGGGTTTCTTAAGGTTTCCAAGCTTGTGGTAACAGCCGTTGGTGCCGACTTGGGTTAACCTTCCTGTTGTTCACAGGTCAAATTTGACCCATTTTCAAATGTTATCAATAAGAAGTCTGGGTTTCTTTCATCTAATTGCCCAAAGAATTTCACGGATGGTTCCATAGGCTCTTTGCAAATAAAATTAATGATCACTACTTTCATTGAATTGTGAGAGTTTTATTCACATTTATAGCATCTGTGGTATTCTCTGGTCAAATTTGACTCCCCCGAGGTTGTGCAATGAGGCAATGGCAGTTTTTTTATCTACAAGTTTATTTGACAGGGACCACTTATAATAAACATATTTCAATACAATCTGATGCATTATATAGAGATAATGCTAGAAGCAAATGCTCATCCCCAGTTCCCAGGTGTACAAAAATACAGACATCATGCACATTACACACAACAAGCATTAAATTACTGTTCACTGTGTTCATAGTCTGAGGGCGCGAATGGTATTTAGTGTTGTGGTTGTTTGATTAATTGTAAATTGATGATTGCATTCATGATTCTCCTTTTAGAATTAACATCTGGGGTAGTTCTGAAATGGGCTGAGAGAGAGTTCTATTTGTTTGTGGCTTTAATGGAAAAGGCTGACTGAAAAGGCAAATTTTGTAGATCTTAAAGGGATGAAACAGTTGCTCTTAGTTGAAGTCCTTGGCTATTGTTCTTAGAGCAGAACTTAATGACCTGCTTTAAAGAGGTGGGGCCAAGCTGTGGGTGATTTATTTATTTTTTAATAAGATTTCTTGTGGAGTACAGGGTGGTCACGCTGGCCTGTCAGTCGGTGGTGCAGTATTAAGATTAATTCATAGTTTTCACGTGATGTCACATTCCAAGGAAAACCCTCCAAGTCCCTTGGAGGTTAAAAAAGACGTTATTTTCCGCTGCCCGCCAACCAGGAAGCAAGTGATACAGTGTTACTTTGAGTTTGTTGCTTTTTGCGTTGCCAAAATGCTGGATGGTTGTTGTGCTTTGGGATGCACTAATCGACGAGGAGACATGCCTGGGCGGTGTTAGGTGAGGGATTCCCTACAAGGTAAACGTAAACATTACTGCAGTCGAGCGCTGGCAGGGACCTGGCGATTTCTAATGGTGGAAATATGGCATTAGGTGCTGTATATGGATCGAAAGTGCTACACTTGCAGTTTGTGTCCATCGTCTATCTTTTTCTTGAGTTGAGAGGTGATCCAAATAAAAAATAACAGCTTTTGTGGCGTCTCTAAGCGGGAGTCCGGTGTGATCCGCTATCTCGGTCCGTTGTTTTGCCCTCCAGGGTATGTCACGTGTCTGAAAACTATGAATAGGTGGGTTCCAGTGATGTCGAGATCACATTTATATCTGCAGATCGGGTGGGTCTGGTGATTAAAAATGAACATTCTGAATAATAGCTGGTGGGTTGCGGAGGGTGAAATAGGATGAATCATCTCCCCATTAAGAAAGACACTAGGCATTTAAGCACGAGGTACAGCAGCATAACTTCATTGATTATTTAAATCTCCCGACACTCTGACAGAATCTGTCAGGAAGCACTGACAGCAGCCTCTCTAATCATTATAGTAAATCCATACAGAAAACACTCATACATCAATACAACACACAATAAAGAAATCACCTGGAAGACAGATATGTCTATGATGTATGATCATAGTTTATTATAATGGAGATTCATAGGAGAGGAGCCTCTGTCTGTGTTTGTGACACCAGTCTGCAGTGTGATACACTTCATATATTAACCACCGAGCTGAAGAGTAACATAAGGCTTCGTGATCAAAGAAAGTTTTTAGATCATGTTGACTCTTAAGTCCATACGCACACTCACTCTCTCGCTCTTCCACATGAGCTCTCTCTCACACTTATTTATTTGTATTTTGTTTTGGTTTTTATAATATACTATTCATGCACCATTTAAATAGAAATGCACCAAGGTAAAAGGGCACCTGGCTTTTAAAGGGAAAGGGAGAGGACACTGTTGTTGGTTTATTGCATGTTACTCCCAAAACACACCCATAATTAATTAAGAGAGTAATTAAGTACAACCCTATTGAACCATATGCATATGTGAATCAGCCACATATCTCACCCCCTACATACCTTATATGGACTATATAAATGAGCTGGCTTACCATGAACCACAGCAACAACAACCAAGAGGAAGACAAATATTTATTCCGGACACAGAAATGGAGGCGCTTGTGAGGTGGAGGTTAGAAAGCGCAGATTGTTTGATGACCACAGCAGCGGGTCACAAACAAAAGACAATTCAGTGAGTTTAACAGAATGATATTGGCTTAATCCCAAAAGGGGCTTTAGGCAGAAAGGGTAAAAATTAGATATTGTTGATCATGTCAAACACACATGTTGGCCAATTCCTGCTGCTAACAGCCGGCTGCCAGAAACCCCGGAGTGGTTATAGCCTACATATATTTGTACCGGGGTGGCGCACTTCTGACTGCTTGGTCTGTCTATTGCTGGACCCAGTTCAGCATACAGATCCAAGAGCACAGCTCCAGACAGTCTAAATCGGTCATCATCATGGGCCAGGCAATCTTTGTTGTCCCTGAACAGTTGTTCCCTCCTAATCCTTCCACTGGTGTTGTCCTCTGCAGTGCCAGTGCAGCCAGCATTATGCAGCGTCACTGCAGTATTTATGTTTACAGCAATCCGACTGATTACTTCACACCTTGCCAAACTGATGGCATGAATCAGTGATATCCCCCACATCATTTGAAGATGAAGGTTTGACAAGTGAACATTATGTCGCCTATATATTAGGACTGATGATGAGAATATGGAGTGGAGCAGTTGTGCGAGAGCTGGCTGTATTTCCAGACTTTGCTAATCTACACAATCCATGTGCAGGTGGTGAAGATGTGCCGGGGGAGTCGAGGTGACCGCCCAGTTACAGTCCGGCCCTCTCCTCTGCGCTCTGGGGGTGGGGAATGTGATGGTGAGACAGCGCTGATGAAATATAATATAGATTTGATGTTGCTTATATCTTTTCAAATTGTAATGGTGGATTTATAATTAACATTTCATATTAAGTGAAATTAAATGTGTGAGCGACATCATTATACAGTGTGGCTTCAATTCACCACCTCACCATCTGCGTCGCCAGTTTCTCCATTGTCCAAAATGTTCTTAAACATGGGTCAAAATTTACGCACATTTCCTCGTAAAATTTTTTTTTTACATACATTTTGGCCTTTTTTGTGCGCAAGGAATGGTTAAAAATAAGGCCCCCGGATAGGATTGGATGTTCTGTCTTTTTATCATTTTTTTCCACGTTTAGGCTGAGGCAGGAGAGATTAAGCCATATGCCACTTTCTCCATTAATCATGTAAGTTTATTTGCCACTTCCTCTGCACTTTTTACATGAATGTAGATAATGATGGTGGTGTTAGCATACATTTGTATATTTACTCTATGACATACCAAGAATTTGTAGCTTTAAGAAAAAATTTAATCACAAAGTTTTGAAAGGAAATATCATGGTTGACAGTGTCAAATGCTTTGTGGAGATCAAGAAAGACTGCACCCACAAACACCACTTTGTCAAACTTGGACTGGTAAATGGTGGTAATACCAGTATTTAGATTACAACTTTTCAGCAGCTTTAGAGATAACCAGTAATATGATGGCTGACTAACATACTGTTGTGAAAATATGCTTTTGTATAGATGAGTTGATAATGTTGGTGACAGGGATTTTGTGTTTAATTTTCAAATACACAACCCATATACGGCTATCGTTGCTGAGGGTAATGGACATGGCTACAGAGATGAGCAGTAGAATGACAATGAAATAGCCATAGAGTCTCCAGGACATCTTCTTTGGCAGTATTTCCAGCAATCCTGTCTCAGAGGAGACACCCGACCATGATCCAGCTCCGAAAGGTAGATTGTAAAATGTCCCCAGGAGTTCAAGAGAATCAAAATTTTGCAATGCTGGGCTTCATCAATGTTGGGGATGGTGACAGCCACCCAGTAGGCAAACTGTAAGGTATCCACCATATCTAGAACCACAGAGGTTATGATGTGATATGAGGGGCCACCGGCCTATAATTGTTCATTGTGGATGTGTTTGGCTTTTTAGGAACCACGACTCTGTCATAGGACTTAAGTCTGTGGGACTGTTTCCTGTGTGAGGTAGGAGTTAGAATATCTGTAGACGCCGCACGGGCGTTCAGGACTCACTGTGACAGTCCATCAGGTCCTGCTGCCTGGGAATTTACCTACTTCCTAGAACCTGTGTGTGTCTGAGAGTCACCTGGAGTACAGTCTCCCTATGGTACAGGGGAATTTTGAGGAGATATTTCTGTTCAGTCTTTGCCAGATTCTGGCAGAGAAACTGTTGAGGTTGTCTGGTAGGATGGTGTTTCCGATCGCAGTCTCATTCGTGGTTTTCCTTTAGTTCGTGACAGATTTAATTCCCTGCCCCATACTGCTTGTGGTGTTACCTACAAGGTAGATTTATTTGTCACATTACAGGTTGTAAAGTGAAATTGAGTTTGTAACTCCCTTCTGCTACTTAGCAAACATCATACATTAATATAAAAAACACTTATTAAAATGGTAAACAAAAATAAATGATATACAATGAAGCAGTGCTAAGAATGAATTTGAGTATAAAGTCTGATAGCTTGGGGGAAAAGCTGCTCTGCAGTCTGGTGGTACGGCGGCAGAAACTTCTGTATCTCTTCCCAGAACCTGCAAGGAGCCTACATCTGGAGTGGCCATGAAGCAGTCATTTAGACTTATCAGAGAGGTGTCACTGTCAATGTCATAGAAGATGGAGTCAGTACCTGGGAAGAGCAGAGAAGTCAAACACAACTACAGTGTTGGATATGAACGAGCTTCACTGCTCTATCATTTTACAACACAGGATTGTAAAACAAGATGAAGTTGTAATTCCATT